CTCAGAGCCTGGAGCCTGCCTCCGATTCTGTGTCTCCCTCTCTCTCTGCCCTCCCCCGTTCATGCTCTGTCTCTCTCTGTCTCAAAAATAAATAAACGTTAAAAAAAAAAAATTAAAAAAAAAAATCTCTTGACTTAACGTACTTTACCAGTATTACGCAGCCACAGAGAAAGAAATATAAAGAGGAAGGAGACTGCATGAAAAGTGTTAGATTAGGTTATAAGAATGGATCCAGTGGTGGAAAAGAGAAGAGCTGTCAAATAGTGACAAGCTCTGCTATTCCATTACAGACTTACCTGACATACTGACCATTCCCTTAACATTTTTTCATAATGGCATTTGAAAAGCAACATCACTTTTGATGATTTTGGGGGGGGTATATAAAAATTTTCACCCCAAACTTTCTAAATTTACAGACTGTAAGGAAATATTGGACATTACGGTTTTAGGCAAATATTCCAATTTAACAGACACAAGTTTCTTGTCAGAGAATGGCACAGGGAATAAATCTGAATTGCATGCCATATTTGGATGAACACAAAATGTTCTGGTTTCCTTAAGTATCCTGGGTGAGAGGTATGAAGAGGTAAGATCTCCTGTGATTCTTTATGCTGTGTACATGCCCTATGTTCCCATTTTGAAGTGCTCTCATCATGTTTAGCTTTCATTCAGTTCTAAAGATGTGTGTGTTACTTTATTATTCTTTTTTTTTTTTTTTTTTTTTTAATATTTTTGGGAGAGAGAGAGAGAGAGAGAGAGCATGAGCAAGGGGGGGGCGGAGAGAGAGGGAGACAGAATCTGAAGCAGGCTCCAGGCTCTGAGATGTAAGCACAGAGCCTGATGCAGGGCTCAAACCCTCGAACCGCGAGATCGTAACCTGAGCCGAAGTCAGACGCTTAACTGACTGAGCCACCAGGCGCCCGTATGTTACTTTAAGTATAATTGGAGTACATACAGAATAACCATAAGATGATCCCAACTTTCTTTTGGCGCAGCTGGCCGTATATATAATTTTTGCAAATGAAGACAAAGTTCTGAATCAGCTGTATGTTCTGGAAAACCACATCACGTCCTGAGAAATCTCAGGAGATTACTGGAAAAACTTGAAACCTATCAAATACAGTGGATAGAAAAATCACAGGTAGTGGATTATCATCAAGTGCCGTGATCATACAGCATTATTAGCAAAGCTGTAAGTAGTGGAGGAGGGAGTGAGGTTGCTAGGTGAATGATTCTTCATTTGAAGTATAGTTTGAAAGAATGTTAAGGTGTATACTGTCATATAATATAAACATTAAGGAAGCAGCAGCAACAAATTCTTAAGGAAAATTACGAAGTAGGTCTAATTCTAACAGTAAATGATTGTTTGAAAGTCCATCACCTGCCTTTCCACCAAACAACGACTCCCTGGCCCTTCTTCACCAACGACCACCCAGGAAGATCCAGTCTTGTTGGCAAGTATGGTAACCATTTTTATGTAGGAACTGCATCAAGCTTTCTTCATCTTTGAGTTTATATTATCTGGAACCACACCAGCATTCCCCCACCACGCTTGTTCTTTACAAATATGGACTCGCTTAATCTCCAGTCTGACCCAATGAACTGTGCACGATTATTACCTCCGTTTAACAAAGGAAGAAACGGTGGCAGAGACAGTGAGTAACTTGTGCAGCGTGACAGGTGAGTGGCCGTCAAGATTCAAATCCTGGTAGTTGGCTCCAGAGTGGGTCTCCTATCCTACACTCTGATGCCTCACATTTTCTTACATTTACAAGCAAATATCTGCTACCTCAATCTCAGAATGCAATCTGCCTTTCCTCTCCTGAAATGCATCTCCCTTCCTTGTCAGTGTGTATAATTCAATTTATGGCTGTTGGCATGCTACTGTAAAACAGTTCCATTTCAGAGAATGTGGAAGACAAGGAAACAGAAATGTATTTCCCCTAATTTGAAGACCGTTCCCCAAATTTCTTATTTCCATTTTCTTATATGCTACTTTATTATTTTTTTTAATTTTTTTTCAACGTTTATTTATTTTTGGGACAGAGAGAGACAGAGCATGAACGGGGGAGGGGGCAGAGAGAGAGGGAGACACAGAATCGGAAACAGGCTCCAGGCTCTGAGCCATCAGCCCAGAGCCTGACGCGGGGCTCGAACTCACGGACCCTGAGATCGTGACCTGGCTGAAGTCGGACGCTCAACCGACTGCGCCACCCAGGCGCCCCATATGCTACTTTAAAACAAGTTTAATTTCCTGAAGTTTAGGGTATTTTACTGATATCCTAAACAATTAACATAATTTCACTAAGACTTTAATTAAGCCTAATATTTAGTCAATGTTAGTAAGCTAACCTCCCTGAAATAAAAACTATAATAATGAATTGCATTAAAAAATTTTTTTTAATGTTTTTATTTATTTTTGAGACAGAGAGAGACAGCACGAGCAGGGGAGGGTCAGAGAGAGGGGAGACACAGAATCCAAAGCAGGCTCCAGGCTCTGAGCTGTCAGCACAGAGCCTGACACGGGGCTCAAACCCACAGACTGTGAGATCATGACGTGAGCCGAAGTCGGACGTTCAACCGACTGGGCCACCCAGGCACCCCTAACAAATTGCATTTTTAAAGTTTCTTTTTTTTTTTTTTAAATGTTTTTTATTATTTTTGAGACAGGGAGAGACAGAGCATGAGCAGGGGAGGGCAGAGAGAGAGGGAGACACAGAATCCGAAGCAGGCTCCAGGCTCTGAGCTGTCAGCACAGAGCCCGATGCGGGGCTCGAGCTCACGGACCGTGAGATCATGACCTGAGCCTAAGTCAGACGCTTAACCGACTGAGCCACCCAGGCGCCCCTTTAAAGTTTCTAGTAACCAAAACACAACAGAGGAAATGCCCCTTCATGGTTTTGTAGAGGCAAAGCTATTTTTCTCCCCTTCCAAATTAATTCTGTGGGGTGTGAAACATTAAGATGGTTTTCATTTCTGAATTTAAAAGGCAATTATGAGTGGGGACCAAAAGGGCACCCAGAGTAATGGGATACATGAAAATGCTTTGTCAACGTTGGATGAATATTCATAACCTACCAATTTAAAACCAGCATTCTAAAGAGATCAAGGTCGGACTACAACCTGTATTTGCCAATGTAGGGTCCAATTTAGGAGCCCAGTGGTGGTTGTGTCAAAGTGTCAAACAACTCTTATTTATTTAGGACAATCCTTTACTATAAGATCTCCAAATTGTCTTACACGGTTTCTAAAAAAGTCATTGCTACAATTTTATGCAAAGTATTTTGTCCTTGTTTCAGAACTCTTTCCATTTCTTAAAGGCTGACCCACAGAGCTTAAGGCCATCACTTTTCAGTACTTTCCACGCTACCAACTTGGCGCAGGGCAGGCACCCAACAACTGTGTGCTGAGTGCCTAACAAATGGGACAACCTACATGACCGAGAATCCAACTAAGTTGACTTAGTTCCCACGAATGCTCTTTTTCAATTTTAGAAACAAATCTGACTTGGCAGGCAAATCCACCAACAGTTCTGCGCAGGTATTCACATCAGATTTCATTCCCCCATTACCCTAAAAATTTTGAATATGGTGATGATTCTTTGCGTAATGAAAAACGTACCTATTTCAATTAATGTCTTACAGTTCCTTCACATAAATCAGGACACAAAAACCTAGTTTAGCACTGCGGCTCGTTAGAATTCTTCCTTTACGTAAAACCGGGGAATTGTTACACTCAGCTTGCTTTTAGCCAATAATCCCCTTAGCACCGTGTCTGCAATTCTTTCAGACTCTGTCTAGCTTTAAGACATTTCATCCTACTATACGGTACCACCCACAAACCAACGTTTACCTGCCTACTGCTTGGCCCTCTAATATACAGTCCGCCCCCGCCCCGAAGCCAATGTTTAAAATCCTTAAACTTGCACTGCAGTTACAGATGGTGCTCAAAAGCCATCTATCTCGTCCTCCTGGGGACCTTGGGACAATTTCATGACCTTGCAGGGTTACTGCTTCAGCATAATGGTTTCAAGAGAGTGCTAGGTTGTCTTTCCCTTCCGATCGCCATCAGGCGGATTCTTAAGGTCCCGTCTGCACCCCAACTCCCGTAAACCCACGAGGACACTTATTTATTCCGCAGTGCCCGGCAAAGAGCCTGCTACATGTTAAGTGCTTAACACGCGTTCTGGCTGAATCGAACAGCCCTTCCTGGCTCAAGCAAACCCTGCCCAGCACCAGAAGGTTTCAAAAGGCGTCAAGGACGCACAGCACAACTTAACCTTCCCCTAGACCTTGCCCTAGGTCCCCCCTCCCCCTCACTTTGTGCGCCCGGGTAAAGCCTCCACGACACTCGCCACCCGGCACGCAGTAGGAGCTCCCTAAGCGGGTATTAGCTGAGTGAATCCAAGACCAGCCCTGTAATCAGTTGGGACTAAAGTCTCAACCCCGAGGTCCCGGATGACCGCTCCTCGTGGCCCTCACCCCGCCCCACCCCGCCTCAGGAGACGTGGCGAGACCCTGCTGTCACCGCAGTCCCTTCGCGCGCCCTCCCCGGATCGGAGGCGCTTCCTGCAGCCCGGGCTTCCCGGGGCCTCCGTAGGACAGGAGGCCTGGCAGGCCCTGAGACCCTCGTCCAGCCCCACTCGCCTCCACTCGCCTCCGCCTCCCCCTGACCGAGCTCTTCCATTCCTCGCAACCCTCCCGGTCCTTCCGCAAGCTGCCATACCATTGCGGCTGCACGGCCCAGGCCGAGAGCCCCGCGACGCCCGCCCGAGAGAACATGGTGATACCGGCCCCGCTGAAGGTCGGTCAGACAGGCCTCACCGCGCAGGCGCGGGACCTTCTCAACGCGCCCTCCCACCCCGCTTTCTCCTTCAGTCTCGCTTACTCCCGCCAGACGGAGGGAAGCCTCGCGAGCGTTGGGGGGAGGCCAGCCTTCCGAGGCCCCACCTCCTTCCGGCTCGCGGCTGGTATTTGTCCCGCCCCCGCCCCAGTCAGCTTCATTCCGCTTCCGGTTGGCTGGGCGCTTCAGCAAAGTTGTGGCTACCGTGGTCGCGATGGGCAAGTCAGATTTCCTTACCCCTAAGGCCATCGCCAACAGGATCAAATCCAAGGGGCTTCAGAAGCTGCGCTGGTATTGCCAGATGTGCCAGAAGCAGTGCCGGGACGAGGTAAGCGGGCCTGGATGGGGCCCCAAGCGGGGCCCTGCTGGAAATCCAGGTTCAAGTCCCTGACGCTGGGGTGAGGGAGTGGAACTTCGGGTCCTGGTCGTGTGGGTTCTGCGCTGGGCGAGTCAGCTACTCAACTCGGTACCGCCATCCTGACCTGCAGCGTTTATCTAGGGGAACCAGTGATCTTTGACGCCTCATTCCTCCACGATATTCCGCCAAAAAGAAATGAAATAGGAGGCTTTGCAGCTCTCGTACACGGGATGCTACTCGAGCTGTCATAAAACGGGGCAGTTGAATGGTGCAGTGCCCGATGCTCGGGGAATGACCGTAACAGTCATCTCTGACTTGACGTGACTCCAGAGAAACAAGGTGATCGGGATTCACCCCTCTTTTCGGGATCAGATGAAAAAGGACAGCTAAGCTCTGGCACACTACTCATCTAACAAGCATTTATTGAGCGCCTACAGTGTGCCAGGCCCAGGATATTACTCCCTGTGGTGACGATCGTGGACTGTGTGGTGACGATCGTGGACTGGAGGCCAGACTGTCAGAATTCTGAATCCTAGCGGCGCCACTTGCTAGCTGTGTAGGCTTGGGCAAGTTACTCACATTCCCCCTGCCCGTTTGCTTATCTGTAAAGTGGGAATAAGAATTGTACCTACCGGGAAGATTGTGAGCTTTAAGTCAGTGAATTATGTGTACAGTGGCTCAAGGGGTCTCGGGGCAGATCTCGAAAAGGTTTGTATGCCGTCCAGCGGCGTTTGTACGTTTTCACATTAGTGAGGTGGATGACGAAGCCCCTTGAAGAATTGAGAGCAGGCTAGCGACAGGGTCGTATTTTTCCTCCGGATATTGAATTGGATTGGGTCGGTACAGCGGAACATTGGGTAATTGGAATAATCCACTCCAGTGTTTTCTGCAGGCGAGGGATGAGATGCTTAAGTAGGACTCACGTTGACTGACAGTGAAGCAGTTAACTCTTTTTTCATTTGTCTCCAGTTCTCCCCCCCCCCTTTTTAATGTTTATTTAGAGAGAGAGAGAGAGAGAGGGAGAAAGCGAGCACACAAGCAGGGGAGGGGCAAAGACACACACACACACACACACACACACACGCACGGAATCCAAAGCAGGCTTCTGGCTCTGAGCTGTCAGCACAGAGCCCGACGTGGGGCTTGAACTCGTGAACGGCGAGATCATAACCTGAGCCAGACCTGAATTCTTAACCAACTGAGCCACCCAGGTGCCCCGTCAGTTTCTTTTCTTTTTTTTTTTTTAAGTTTTATTTATTTATTTTGAGAGAGAGAGAGAGAGAGCACACAAGCAGGGGAAGGGCAGAGAGAGAGGGAATCCCAAGCAGGCTCTGCACCATCAGCGTGGATCCTGATGCAGGGCTCTAACTCATAAACCATAAGATCGTGACCTGAGCCAAAATCCGGAGTCAGATGCTTAACTGACTGAGCCACCCAGGCGCCCCTCCTGTTCTTTCTTTCTAACAGTCAAGGTGAAATTCTTACACAGAAAACTAGAGACAAATACCACGAACATTTGTATCTCCATTACCCGTATTGAACATTTTAAGAAACTCGCCTAGCCTTACTTGTTTCAGAAATATTTTAAAGTCAGTTGCAAGCATCTAGGACATTTCATCTCTAAATACTTAAGTACGCTTCTCTAAGATATTTGGGTATTTTTCTACGTAGCCGCAATATATGTCATCACACACAAAAAAAAGTAATAAAAATTGCTTTATGTCGTCTGACACACAGTCCATATTCACATTTTCATCACTTGTTCCCACAAACACTTTTTAAAAGTTTTTTTTTATTTCGGGGCACCTGGGTGGCTCAGTCAGTTGAGCGTCTGACTTTGGCTCAGGTCATGATCTCACGGTCTGTGAGTTCGAGCCCCACGTCAGGCTCTGTGCTGACAGCTCAGAGCCTGGAGCCTGCTTCGGATTCTGTGTCTCCCTCTCTCTCTGACCCTCCCCTGCTCACTCTCTGTCTCTGTCTCTCAAAAATGAATAAACGTTAAAAAAAAAATTTAAAAACAATAAATAAAATCATGGAGCATAGGGGCGCCTGGGTGGCTCAGTCAGTTGAGCATCCGACTTCGGCTCAGGTCATGATCTCGCGGTCCGTGAGTTCGAGCCCCGCGTCGGGCTCTGTGCTGACAGCTCAGAGCCTGGAGCCTGCTTCGGATACTGCGTCTCCCTCTCTCTCTCTGCCCCTCCCCCGCTTGTACTCTTTCACTCTGTCTCTCTCAAAAATAAACATTAAAAAAAAATTTTTTTTAAGTTTTTGTTAAAACCAAGACCCAATCAAAAGCCATGGATCGGATTTGTTATTAGGGCTTAAAAAAAATAAACTATTTTTTTTAGAGCAGTTTTAGCTTTACAGCAATGATGAGTGGAAGGTCCAGAGATCTGTACACACCCCATCCCCACATTTGTACAGTTTCCCCATTATCAGCATTTGGCAACAGACTAGTGCTTCACATCTTCACCACCAAAGCCTACAGTTGGCAGTGGGGTTCCCTCATGATGTTGGACATTTCTCCGGTTTTGAACAAATGTGTGTAATGGCATATATCCATTATCATCTCACAGAGAAGAGTTTCATTGCCCTAAAAATGTGAGTAATTAGGGCTTTTGATCCTCTCTCATTCCTAAACGGAATATAGAATCCACTTCCCTCGCCCTTGCTCCCACCCCCTTGCGACTCCATTGTTTTTCTTTTTTTTCTAATTAATTTTTTTTTAAAGTTTTATTTATTTTTGAGACAGGGAGAGACAGAGCATGAACAGGGGAGCGTCAGAGAGGGGGAGACACAGAATCCGAAACAGGCTCCAGGCTCTGAGCTGTCAGCACAGAGCCCGACGCGGGGCTCGAACTCACGGACCGTGAGATCATGACCTGAGCTGAAGTCGGCTGCTTAACCGACTGAGCCACCCAGGTGCCCCATCTAATTAATTTTTTACTAGTATAGCTGTCACGCGTTACCCACGTTAGTTACAGTGGTTTCCTCTGCACAACGTAATTTATGCCGTTCGCTGTGCGTGTCACTAGTGAGGCTCCCACCTGTCACCCCGCAACACTGTCACCATACGTGCCGTCAACCGTACTTCCTGCGCAGTTCTATTCCGTCACCAGAGGCCTCTCTCTCTCCCTTCTCTTCACGTGTTTGCCCAGCGCCTCTCCTTACCGCCTACAGCCGTCAGCTTATCCTCTGTGATTATAGGTCTGATTGTGTTTTTGTTTTTGTTTTGTATTTTTTTGAGAGAGAAGGTGCGCGTGCATGCCTGCATGAGCCAGGGGAGGGGGCAGAGGGAGAGAGAGAATTTCTGATGTTTTATTTATTTATGAGAGAGAGACAGAGGGTGAGCAGGGGAGGGGCAGAGAGAGAGGGAGACACAGAGTCCGAAGCAGGCTCCAGGCTCCGAGCTGTCAGCACAGAGCCCGACATGGGGCTCGAACCCACGAACCATAAGATCCTCACCTGAGCCGAAGTCGGACACTTAACTGACTCAGCCACGTGATCGCCTCCCCCCCCGCCCCTGCCCCGAGAGAGAGAGAGAGAGAGAGAGAGAGAGAGAGAGAGAATTTCAAGCAGCCTCCACACCCAACGCGGAGCCCAGTGCAGGGCTCCGCCTCAGGATGGCGAGATCACAACCTGAGCCCAAATCCAGAATCCGACACTCAACCGACTGAGCCACCCAGGAGCCCGTTACTCTTTTGTTTTGAAGGTTCCACATATAGGTGAAGTCATAGGAAATTTGTCTTTATCTGAGTTATTTCACTTAGCAAAACACCCTTGAGGCCCATCCATATTGTGACAAATGGCAAGATCTCGGTCCTTTCCTGTAGGCTGAGTAATATTCCGTTGTGCGTGTCTTCTTTATCCGTTCATCTGTCAATGGACACTCGAGTTGGTATCTTTGCTAATTCAGTTGTTTTTCTGACGTTGACTCTCTACTGGGCCAGTAACTGCCCTGGAGCGTTCCCACTTTCTGATATGAAACAGTGAAGTTTTCTTGTGGTTGTCTTTGACCCTCCTTCTCTAACTTACAGTTCTATAAACTGGAACTTGGAGCTGAAGGCTTGATTTGGATCAGGTTAAATATTTTGGGGAAGACGACTTGATAGGTGGTCCTGCGGGTTTCGTATCGCATCGCACAAGGAGGCCCGTAACGGCTGCTAGTGCTAAGATGACTGAGTGAAGAGGACGGTAATGTTAGAAAGGAATATTTTCCCTCTCGCAAGAGCGAGCAAATAGTAAGGAATACATCTAGTTTACCATCAACCTTTTCCTTCGGTGTTTTAGCATCCTTGCTTGAGTCTATTATTTCCTTAAGAGGTGCAAAGTGGTTATTTTTCTGTATTTCTCAGAATTTATTATTGGCTGCCATTCTTATGTCAGGCTGAGCTCTTTCTCATCAACTGGAGCTGTTTGGTTATCGTCAAACACAGGTTGTATGGCAGAAGGAGGATAAGTGCTTAACTCTTTTCCTTCAGTTTCCGATTTCAGAGTAAGACACTTGTGGCGATTCTGCCCCGTTTGCTCTCAACTCTGCGCATCGACTCCCCTGCCTGGGAGGGTGGCCTGCAGGAGGAGAGGTTGACCCCTCCAAGTTCCCTTTCGTCTCCCTCTCTCTCAGTATTGGAAGATTGAGGGGAAGGAGGTCGGATCCAGAGTATTCCCCTCCTGCCCATCCACTCTCACGGGTTCCTAGAATTTACTGGCCTCGTTTTGTTTTCATTTCGGTGATTGATTTTTAACCTACGGGAATTTGCACTGGTTTTGCATTCACGAGACCAACGCCAAGTTTCCTTTTAGGTACTTGCGAGTGAGAGTAGTGCACGGGCGGTACACAGTTGAGGCGAGCATTGTTGTCGGTCGTCTGTGGGTGACTGAGGGTGAGGCAGCTAAGCGAGATGGGGTGTTGACATCAGGGCAGTGGCGTGAGACTAGACGGGGAGACGGGAGAGGCGGTGTTAGGGAGGCCGAGCGGACTTAGTGGTAAGTGGAGGCAGAGGTGGAGGAGGACTCCAGGATGCCTGGCCCCTGGCCTGGGTGACCGGGCGTGGAACAGAACTGTTCACCGACACGGAGAACACGGCAGGAGAGGCCCAGTTTTCATCGCCGGTGCTGGTGGAGAATCAGCTGTAAATGTTAAGTCGCGTAGATACAAAGTCAAAACTTGTCATTTTTTTTATAGTCACCTGAAGAAGGTGCAGATTTAGTATACTTAACACGAGGTTTCTGTAGTGTGCAGTTATCCCATGAGATTTAACATGACATTTCTGTAATATGCCATAATGTATTTTGGATAATGAAGTGAAGTAGAGAAAAGTGAGTGAAATTCACTAACGGCCCATTTTACTTGGTTACGTTTCCCCAACCACTTACATCACCCTACATGTAGTGGATGTTCAATAAAATTGGGTAAATGGATTTAAAAAAACAAAATCACTCTTCTGTTCCCATGCCCTGTCCCTGTCTCTTAGTAACGTCGGCTTGCCACGAGCTTTCTGTCTCCTTAATCTCCTGGGATTATCCCTTGAGGGGCAGTGTTACATAACCTCATAAAAAATAAAAAACTTTTTTAAAAAAATGATAGTGTGCTTAAAGCTAGTGATTTTCTCTCTCTCTCTCTCTTTTTTTTTTTTTTTTTTTTTTTTTTTTTGTTACAATTTATTATCAAAGAGGAGCTTTTTATGGTTAACTAAATACTTCTGTTTAGGGCCCATTAGGATGACCTAAATCAGAACTTAACCACTACTTAATGTTTTGTAGAATGGCTTTAAGTGTCATTGTATGTCCGAATCTCACCAGAGACAACTACTGTTGGCTTCAGAAAATCCTCAGCAGTTTATGGATTACTTCTCCGAGTAAGTAACTTGAAGACATCCTTATCTCATAAGCTTTGTTGAGTTGGACATGTAGTACATATGCTTAAAAATGTGTATATTGGGAGCTCTGTCTGTTCCTTACACATTAACGGGATAGCTCTGCTATCTTGTGCTCAGGTTTTGTTTTCCTTTGACAATTTGTCACAGTATGAAATTGTTACAGAAGTGTTTCTCACAATTCAGTCTTGCTCTCCAAACACAAAAAAACTCTCTTCCATTCTAACTCGGTTGTGGCTCAGAGCACGGCTGTGGAATCCGACTGCCTGCCTTTAAGCCCTGCAAACCCAGGCTTCTCCCTTCATGGGCTGCGTGACTCTCGCTGAAGCACTTACGTTTGTCTGTGCTTCTGTTTCCTCATCTGTAAAATGGGACTAAAAACAGCACCCTCTTCCAAGCGTTTTCTTTATTTCATAGAAAGATTAATGAGTTAATGGTTTTAAAGAGTTTAGAAAAGTATCAAGTACTTGATTAATATTAGCTATTAATTATTATTGCTATTAATATTTAGTCTTAAGTCTGTCTGTCTCTTTCTTTCCCAAGTTCTGGACCTTTTGGCCTTAGGACCCCTTTTCACCCTTAAAAATTATTGAAGAGCCTCGAAGAGCTTTTGTTTGTGATTGATATCGATATATTGATACTTGTGAGTTAGGGATTAAAAATGAAAAAAAAATGAAGCGTATTTATTATTTCACTTAAAATAATAATAAATCTAGGAGTGTTAGTAAGAAAATAAAATAATAAAAAAATAAAAATAAAATAATAATAAATCTATTAAGTGTTAAAATAAATAATTTTTTAATAAAAATTAACTATATATTCCAAAACAAACAAAAACAATAGGAATAGCTTTGCTTCAGATTTTTACAAATCTCTTCAGGGTCTGACTACTAGGAGGCAGTTGGATTCTACAACCGCTTCTGTATTCAGTTGTCTGTTTCAACATGTTTTGGGTAAAGCACATAAAGAAAGGCCACCCTGTTCATAGATGTCTGGTTGGAACGGGGGAATACTTTAATAGCCTTTTTTGGATAATTTTGGATGTTCTTTGATGCGACATCAAAACACAACAACGTGGTAGTTTCTTCAAGATTAGCTGCAGCGTGGATTCTGGAACCGTGTCAGGGAACTTTTGGGCGCTATTACATTATGATCCCTCAATCTTTCACTTTAGATGGAGCTTGTCCCCATGCATGGTTTTATGTCATCATGCACTGGTCATTTGGAAAATATTGGTTCACCGAGTGTTCCGAATGGTGACACGTTTTGTTACGTAGTAGTGTAAAGTCATACTTTTTAATGTTATCAGTGTCATCGGAAAGATCCTTTAGTATTGGGAGGGACGTCAGACTCACGGTGGCCGAAGCCAGTTTACCAGATTCAATTTTTTGCCGGAAAGCTCACATTTTATCGTCGGCAACAAATGATAAACAAATGTCAGCTGTTTTTCCTTGACGTGACAAGGCTCCCTTTGCTTATTTTTGACCAAATGTCTACGAAATACCCGATTTTGAATAACCGTAGTTGATCGGTCCGTCATCCTTTCAAGTAGCAGTGGTGCGCGGTGACAGCGGTAGTTCTGTGCGTGGCTCAGACCATCGCACGAGTGCTGCGCTCAAGACAAGCCCCAGGCGGCAGTGGAAGTGCTGCGTTCCCGAGCCCGTCCCGGCGCACAGGGTATGAGACGGAGCCCCGCAGGCTGAGATTTAGTGCTGTCCCACCGCCCCGTCAAGGACGTTCTTGGTGAAACCAGCATTGATTCTCACCGCGAGCGCATATCCATGAAGAATACTCTGGCTGCCTGTGCAGGCTGGCCTCGCCGCCCACTGCCCTGACTTGGCTAAGACTCCAGCAGGTGTCCCCTATGTGGCTTTTGTGCCATCAACGCAGGTAACACGGTGAAAAAGGCCAAAGTTGTTTATCTGTGAACCACACGAAACCACCTCGATTACCACGGGGCTGCACGAGCCACATTTGGGGAAATATCATCCTGGCAAGAGCCGTCTACACTGGGCTTTTCCTCTCCGCCCCCTTTTACTGCATCCACGTAGCTGCCCAGTTTCCATCTTGCTCTTTATCTTTCTTCGGTGGATAACGCTCTTAACTACCCACAAACATCTCTCTGTTTTCCATTCTTTCCTGGCTTTCCTCCTCCTCCTCCTCCTCCTCCTCCTCCTCCTCCTCCTCCTCCTTGCTTCCTTAGCCCCTCTTCCTTTCCTCCCAGCTCCTCCAATGCAGGAATGTTCCTCAGGGTGTCCGCTCGGCTTCCTTCAGTCCACATTACCCAGGCTCCAAGAGTTCTGTCATTCTTCCAGCTGTTCCCTTTGTGTTGGGTGACTCCTCAGTCTTACTGTTCATTCCTGATTATCTGTCCTAAGTTGTAGATTTTTTTTTTTTTTCCTGGGCAGTTGTAATCTATATTTCTGAAGGCTCTCCCGAAGCCACCATTTAAAAAAATTTTTTTTTTCAACGTTTATTTATTTTTGGGACAGAGAGAGACAGAGCATGAACGGGGGAGGGGCAGAGAGAGAGGGAGACACAGAATCGGAAACAGGCTCCAGGCTCTGAGCCATCAGCCCAGAGCCTGACGCGGGGCTCGAACTCCCGGACCGCGAGATCGTGACCTGGCTGAAGTCGGACGCTTAACCGACTGCGCCACCCAGGCGCCCCCCGAAGCCACCATTTTAAAGCCAAGCACGGTACTCTGTCCACCACGCCTACCGTGTGCTGGCTGACAATACCTACTCGGAATGCTCAGCTGGGACTTCCCTGTTGTTGATTCTCCTCTACGGTGTCCTTTAAACTCACCTCCTCGCCATTCTCCCAGCCCTAGTCGTCATTCTCATCATGTGTCACCTAAATTAATTCCGTGACTTCCTCACTGATCTCCCGGCCGCAGCTTCTGTCCCTCCTGGCCGTGTTTTACGCCCATGGTTCACAAACCGCCACGTGCGTCACAATCACCGTGAGGGCTTGTGACGACAGTGGCAGATTCTGGTTCCGTAGATCTGGGCTGGGGCTGGAGACGTGCTGTTTCTATCAAGTTCCCAGGTAGTGTTGATGCTACTGTTGTAGGGACCACACTTGGAGAATTCTTGTTCTGTCTTCCCCAGGACTGTCTCACTAGATCACAGATTTTCACAGACTAACTCCTAAGTAAATTATTTGGTGCTTTGCCACTGCCTGCATAAAACCCACCCTCTTGAGCATGACATTCGAGGTACTTCCAAGATCATCCCCGCCATTATTTTCCAGCTGTGTCCCCCACCCCCGCCCCGTTCTTCTGTTCTGTCCCACCATGTCCCTCCTTTCTGTCTGCTCACAACGTTAGCTCAGTGAGATCATCATTTCCCAGACGTGATGCTTCCGTGTTTCTCTGCCAGCTGGGAGTGGCCTTCTCTTCCTCTCCACCTATAAGGTCTGATGTCTACTTCCCCGCCCACGTTAAAGATCGCCAGCGGGCATCCCTCAACTCCGTGACATTGTGCTACATCTCTTTTGCAGTTCGCCTCGTGTTATGATTGGTTCCGCTAGATTGGAACCTGGGTCGAGATTTAGGTTTTATTCACCTGTGTTTACCCAGCACGTAACACAGTGTATTCCGTGCAGAGGGACACATTGAGTACCAATTTCACGTGGAATCAGGGAAGTTTTGTTATCGTCGGAAGAATGGTTTTATTATGCCACACTCAGTCACGCTAAGAGACTTCACGGAGGAACTTTTCTAGACCCGTGGAGTCACTTCTACTGTGGTTGCTCCGCCAAGCCTGGAAGTCTCAACTCCAAACTGACCTGTAACTGAAATCCTCGAAAGCTGTAAACTTTCGGGATTCCTTTCCCTTTTCAGTTCTTGAGGGTTCCTAACAGGTAGTCACATAGATGTGTCATCTATCATTTGGGCATTCACACTGTATGGTGGCTTTGTATTTGTAGAATTACCTTAATGCTTTCCTTCCTTTCTTTATTAGGGAATTCCGAAATGACTTTCTAGAACTTCTCAGGAGACGCTTTGGTAAGCATCTGGGTATTATGCGCACAATAACTTCCTAATCCGTAAACCTGCTCCGGGTTGACGGTGTGCTGTTTTGTTCTCAGGCACTAAGAGAGTCCACAACAACATCGTGTACAATGAGTATATCAGCCACCGGGAGCACATCCACATGAATGCTACCCAGTGGGAGACTCTGACTGATTTTACCAAGTGGCTGGGCAGAGAAGGTGAGAATAAGACAGGATCTGAGCAGCTGTTGCGTGGCTCGGGGGCAGAGACAGAATTGTCACGGTTTCTGTGTACATTTACAAAAAGAGGGCGAGCAGGGCAGTTAAAAACTGGCAGAGGGGAGCATAATCTTCCAGGACTGATTTTGTGTGTTCCACCCGAACGCGAGCGTCTGGGACGGTTCTTTCGACAGGGCCCGGATTTATCACCAGCACATCGTCTCATGCGGGTTAAGGGTTATTACCAGTCCTCCCCCTTTTACGCCCCCGTATTCATTTTACTTTCTGAGGCTTTTGTTACCCCCGCGCAAGGAGCTTTTTAAAAATTTGCTGCAGCTTTTTCCATTTCTAATCTTCATAGGATGAACTTGGAGGGAGAGGGCAAGGAGCCGTGACATGTATCACATACTCACTGTGTTACTTGATTCCATTTTACGGGGCAAATTTCTATTAAGTTAGTAGAATATCATGTACTCGTCGGATGTTAAATACTTAGACACAGTTAAATAATTACTAAGCAAGATGATGCTTTCCTGTATTTCCCTGGCGTACATAGTTGACTTAGCCCAGGTAGTTAAAAATCAGAATGATAATTTTTTCTGTTCAAGGAGATAAAGTATCCCACTTAAAATATCTAAATGTTATCAACTGTGAGTATGGAAAATCCGTGGGCCGCATGAATTTGTGTATTTGAATGTGTTTGAATAGTGTATTTGAATGAATAAGTACATGACGCAGAGATGGAACGCATTTATATTTCCCTTTAGTTTTGGTTGTGTACGAGTTTACCTGTTATTTTTTTTTTTTTTTTAAGGCTTGTGCAAGGTGGATGAGACGCCGAAGGGCTGGTATATTCAGTATATCGACAGGGACCCAGAAACTATCCGCCGGCAACTGGAACTGGAGAAAAAGAAGAAGCAGGACCTTGATGATGAAGAGAAGACAGCCAAGTTTATTGAAGAACAAGTGAGAAGAGGTCTGGAAGGGAAAGAACAGGTGGGCAGCAGTGTCATTCAGGGAGGCGATGGGAAAAGGTCTCAAGAAGCAAAATTTTTAAGCATCGAGTTGAGTTTGGCAGATGCTGTTCCTTACCGAAGAGGAGAATGAGCATGACGGAGTCTAAAAGGCCAGCTTCTGGAGTCGAGGCCAGCCTGGGTCCCGTCTCTGACTTACTGACTCTTGATCTTATAGAATTCTATAGTTCTAAACCTCAGCTTCCTTATGGCTAAGGTGCAGGTGATAACTAATGGGGGAGACACAGCAGATGACATTACTCGGCCGTAATTAGCGCGATGCTGGAGTTAAACACAGTGTGGGAACCTAGGTGCCAGCACCTGCCCCAGCCTGGGCAGGATGTAGACTATTTGAATCAGGCAGATACAACCTGTGGGCCTGAAGAATCAACAGGCCGAACCCAGGTAAATGGGGAGACAGGGCATGGGGAAGGTGGTTCTGGTGTTAGAATAACTAGAGGAGGGCATTTATTTTAACAAATATTTATTGGGTACCCTCTGTGTGCCGGGCCTTCTTCTAGGTACTGGGGAGAGAGCAGTAAACAAAAGATAAAAACTCCCTGCCTCATGGTGCTTCCATACCAAAAGTTGTGTGTGTGTAGGAAAGCATAGCCTGTGACATAGGTGGCGCTCCTAGCCATTTAGTATTTTAAAAGCTTTATTGTGTGGGGCACCTGGGTGGCTCAGTCAGTTGAGCGTCCGACTTCGGCTCAGGTCATGATCTCGCGGTCTGTGGGTTTGAACCCCGCGTCAGGCTCTGTGCTGGAGCCTGCTTTGGATTCTGCGTCTCCCTCTCTCTCTGCCCCTCCCCTGCTCATGCTCTGTCTCTCTCTCTCTCTCTCTCTGTCAAAAATAAACATTAAAAAAAAAAAAACTTTATTGTGGTATAAGATACATGTGCTAAAGTGTATGATGTGCATTAATCTTAAGGTTACAGCTTAGTGGAATTGTTACATATGGATGGATGGATGGATGGATGGATGGGTAGTAGATGGATGGATAGCTTATGAAATGACCACCCAGATCAAGATATGGAACATTTTCAGTGTCACACTCATTCCCAGTTAATATTCCCTGTTCCCCAGAAAGGAACCGGTGTTCTGATGTGCCAGTCTTAATTACTTGCCAGTTTGTTCTTGAACTTCGTCGAAGTTCATACGAACTTCGCCATACGGTACACTCTCTCTGTGTCTGGCTTCTTTAACTCAGACAGAATGTTCTTTATGTTTACTGCACCTGTGTCCTTTCCTACCAGTGTTTCACCCTTTTTAAAATTGATGTCTGTTCCATTTTATGAATATTACACAATGGATCCATTGTCCTGCTGAGAAACATGTAGCTTGTTTTCAGGATTTGGCTAGTATGAATACAGCTGCTCTGATCATTAACGTGCGTGTCTTATAGAAGCTGTTTATTACAGAGTGACGCAGGAAGGAAAAGGCAATAAGAAAGTAAAGATCCATTTATGAGTCAACTTTTATACCATGTTAATTGACCTTGATGAGTGGGTGGCTGTGCGTGTGTAATATGGTGCTGCTTTCATATGCATGTATTTACGCCATCTTTTAGGAGTTTTCTATATTAAAATAGAAACAATGTTTAAAGCCCTGTAGTTGTTAAATTTAACCCCTGCCTAAGATTGAAAAAACTTTTTATTCTTGAAATTCTTTTACCTTTTTAAAATTTAGACCTCTGAGGGCACCTTGGAGCCTCAGTCGGTTAAGCATCTGACTTTGGCCCAGATCATGATCCTGCGGTCCGTGAGCTTGAGCCCCCTGTCGGGCTCTGTGCTGACAGCTCAGAGCCTGCTTCAGATTCTATGCCTCCCTCTCTCTCTACCCGTCCCCCACTCATGCTCTGTCTCTCTCTGTCTCTGAAAAATGAATAAACATTAAAAAAATTAAAAAAAAAAAAAACCTTTAAACCTCTGGGGGCATCTGGGTGGCTTAGTCAGTTAAGCATGCAACTCTTCGTTTCGGCTCATGGCACGATCTCATGGTTTGCGAGTTTGAGCCTCACATTGGGCTCCGCGCTGACAGTGTGGAGTCTCCTTGGGATTCTCTCTCTCTGCTCCCTCCCTGCACTCTCTTTCTCTAAAAAACAAATCAACTTTAAAATAAAATGAAAATAAAATTTAAAGTTCTGTTTTCAGTGGAGGGAAAATTATAATTTCCTATTGTGGAAATTAAGAAGGATCACATCTTGTGCAGAGGAACATGGTTTACCTTTTGGAATAGCGTTGTTTTGTAACATTTTTGCTTAATTCCATTAAGACCTTCAAGTTAATTCATACTTTCCAGGTATAAATAGCATCTTCCAGTAAAAGAAGTCCTACTGATCAGTGCTTCCTCATTCCACACTTAAACATGTCAGTTTTTTTAAAAGTAACATTGTGTCTTTTGTAAGATGTTAATGGACATTGCCTAAGGAAAGAATATCTCAGTTAGATCTCAAGAACATTTTTTTTTAACGTTTTATTTATAAGAACATCTTTTCTGTTAGTAGAAACCACAGTTAACATTTAATCCAACACTCTTGCAGGCATGATGCTAAGTGTTTCCTTTATATCGTATTTAACCCTTATGATACCTCTGAATATGCACGTTATCCCTGTTTTAAAGATAGAATAGTTGAGGCATAAGAGAGATTGCGAGATTGGCAGGTGACAGAGCCGATACCGTGCAGAGGTGAGTTTTACCTGCACTTCTTCCTGAGTTCGTCTTAGACTCTCGATCTTAACAGTAAACCATCCCACAATATAGAAAGGTTTTGTTTTTTTAAGGTAATCCTCTAGCTAAAACTTTTAAAGTTTATTGTTTTATGTTGTTTCCATTTTATTTTATTTTTTTTTTTAATTTTTTTTTTTCTTTCAACGTTTATTTTTTATTTTTGGGACAGAGAGAGACAGAGCATGAACGGGGGAGGGGCAGAGAGACAGGGAGACACAGAATCGGAAACAGGCTCCAGGCTCTGAGCCATCAGCCCAGAGCCTGATGCGAGCCTGACGCGGGGCTCGAACTCACGGACCGCGAGATCGTGACCTGGCTGAAGTCGGACGCTTAACCGATTGCGCCACCCAGGCGCCCCTGTTGTTTCCATTTTAAATTGTAGCAGGAAGACAGATGTAGGTAAACTTCTGCAGTTTGGTCCAGAGAAGTCACTTTCTCCCCTCTTTGGAATAGTGCTCAGTGGAGGGATGTTTGCAGTACGTGTCATTTCTTGGCTAGGATCTTAATCACCTTGCACTTGTATTTGGAGCTGCCTTGCAACAATGGGTAGGAAGTCAGCACCTGGGCCTACTGAGTACTGATGGCAAATGCACTATAAACCAAAGCTTCACACTCTTTTTTTTTTTTCCTTTTAGGAGGCTCCTGTTTTTACGGAATTAAGCAGAGAAAATGATGAAGAAAAAGGTAGTTTTACTTTTTTTTTTCTTCTTCTTATATGGATGCTTTCCTATTGGCCCTGCCAAAAACTAGCAACAGGTTTGGGAGCAAGACCTGTACTGTGTCTGGATCGCACTGTTCTCGCCCATATGTGAAAAAGTTGTAACGATGAACCGGGTAGGATGCCTTCAGCTACAAGTAAGAAAACTGACCAAAGGGAGCCTCAGTAGTAAGGAAATAGCTTGCTCTAACAAGAGTCCCAGGGGCAGGGTGGTTCCGGACGCCAGGCCATCGGTCAGCAGCGGGACACGAGGTAGCTGTGGGCACTTTCGGCCATTGTATGTAGACCCAGCATTGTCCAGAGGATGACAGAGGGCATCTCTTCTAGAGTCCCCTGTGAGCCAGGAAACTTTCCCTAGAAGACACTCCTCCAGCCAGCACACTTCCTTTGGAATGTCACTGGCCAGACCCTATCAGCCTCCACGTCAAAGGCAGTCTCTGGGAAAGGAAGCTGGATTATTTTGATTGTTTTAGAACAAAAGAACCTTATAAAGCCTCCCCCCCCACCCCTGCCCCTGCCCCCGCCTCCTAATCCCATCACTTTGAGCATTAGGTTTTCAACATGCAAATTTACAGAGGATACAGACACAGTGTGAGAAGTGTGAACACCTAAACAAAATTGGAGTCCTGTCCCCTTAGCAAGGGCAGAAGGGGACAGTGGAGGTGGAGAACAGCCAAGGCAGTCTTTCCCAGCTCTGAGCATCTGCCCAGTGCGCTTCTCTGCAGGAGTTTATCATCTCTGGATAGGAGCATTCCAGCTCTCGTTCATGCCGACCGTCCGGGAACTTCTGTGTGGATGTGGTGTGGTATCTTATCTGAGCAGTGTTATAATTTCCCTGAAATATATGCGTATATGTGTATAAATGAAGTGTGTGTGCGTGTGTAGGAAATGAAATGTGTAAAATACGTAAAAAACTATAGCACTGTTTTTTCTTCCAGTTACATTCAATTTGAATAAAGGAGCATGTAGGTCAGCAGCAACATCATCCAAATCAAGGTGAGCTACATGAATAGGTATCTTAGAACTGGAGGATTTCTGTGAAATGTTGATGACTACATTTTAAAAGCTGCAGTATTGTGGGTGTTTTTTTTTCCTTTTTCTGGTTGTAATGTTCTTCTCTGTTTTGTTTTTGTTTGGTGGTTGTTGTGTTTTTCAGCAACTGTTTTTTCCCCTGATTTGCCTATGATGATATGATGCCCCCTTTTGAGGAAAGGCCTACTCTGATCACGTGCTTCCCATGACACATCTTTGTCTCTCTGGGAGTCCTTCTCCACTTAATAATTCCTTCTGTGCTACTGCGGTGCTATTTGGTTTTCTTTTTCCTTTTTTTCTTTTCTTTTGCTGTTTGTTTTTCCATCAGAGCCCATGTCTCAAGTTTAAATATTAGCTGGAGTATACAGTTTTTGTTCTGTCTACCGTATTAAGATCTTGTGAGAATAGAGACGAAGTCATTCGCCTAACTTCTCAGCACCTAGTACAGTGTAAATGCCCTGGTCAGCACTCAGTGACGACTGCCTTCTGGGCTACGCGATGTAGTAACAGAATGGGGCTTGCCAGCTTTTTCTGGGAAAGGCCCTACAGTAAACAGTTTAGACATCATTGGCCATATGTCTTTGTCACAACCACGTAGCTGCTATCGGAGCGAGAAAGCAGCCAGAGACAATATGTAAACAAGCGATCGTGGCTGTATTCCAGTAAAATCTTATTTATAAACACAGGCAGCAGGCCGCATCTGCCCCTTAGGTTGTAGTTTGCCAGGTCCTGGAACAGCATGTAGTCAGGTACTTCTCACTTTTCACGTTCTCTTCTCTTGCAGTTCTTAGACATTCTTTCACCACATCTCTGTTCACTATCTGTGATGTGCAGTGTGTCCAGTTGTTTATGGAGATAAAAAAAATAAAACAAGACATTCAGGAAGGCACCTCCTCCTGACACCTTCCCATCATCTACCAGACATTAGTTTTGAGTTGGCCAATCTTTGTTATTTTACTTAGTATTTTACATATTGTTTATTGAAGACCTAACTCAGGTTTTCTGGTTAATTTATTAGGCGAGTGTTTATTTACACGACGAAGTAAGTGGCGAGGAGAGTTGAAGGAACTAGACAGACTGAGGGAGCACGTAATACTGCTTCAGAATGGCTGGCCGGAGGTCTTCACTTTGGTCAAAATATTTCAGGATTGGGGTGCCTGGGTGGCGCAGTCGGTTGGGCGTCCGACTTCAGCCAGGTCACGATCTCATGGTCCGTGAGTTCGAGCCCCGCGTCAGGCTCTGGGCTGATGGCTCAGGGCCTGGAGCTTGTTTCCGATTCTGTGTCTCCCTCTCTCTCTGCCCCTCCCCCGTTCATGCTCTGTCTCTCTCTGTCCCAAAAATAAATTCAAAAAACGTTGAAAAAAAAAATTTAAAAATATTTCAGGATTGACACCTACATGAGAGATCGTGAAGGAAGCGGTCAGCTGGGTTCTACACGTGGCACCCTTGAAAATTCTTTTCAAAGTAGTGGTCTGATAGGTCCCGGAAGACAGATTTAAATATGTCAGATCACACGTTGCCTTACGGTGTTAGACCTGTACGTGTTTCCCTGCAGTCTCCCTTATTATTTGTTATTCCCAAGTGTAGATAAATGTTAAACTTGGTCCCAGCGGCCCCCAAGCTGGTCTCTCTCGTGTTAGTTTTCTGTGGCTGCTGTAAATGACCGTAAACCAAGTGTCCCGAGACAACAGGAATTTGTTCTGTTTCTGGAAGCCAGAAGCGTGAAGTCAGAATCGCCGGCCGAGATCAGGCCACGTGCCAGGCGGTGCTTCCTCCGCGGGCCCTGGCGGGAATCCGTCCTTTGCCTCTTCCGGCTTCCGCTGGCCGCTGCCATCCCTCGGCTTGTGGCTGCGCCCTTCAGTTTTCAAGAGCAGCGTCCTCACATCTCCCTTTGCCCCACCTTCACACCACCTTCTCTGTGTGTCACGTCTGCCCGTTTCCCTCTCGAAAGGACGCATGTGCATAGAACCCATTCGGGCACCCCAGGATAGTCCCACCTCAGAATCTATAACCTGATCTCGTTTGCAAAGACCCCTTTCCCAGTAAGGTCGCATGTATCAACTCCAGGGATGAGGACCGGTTATCTTTGGGGTCTGCTGTTCAGCCTCCTGTACCCCGACGCCAGGCTTTGATGTCATTATAAAAGTAGTTTTATTTGACCGAGTTCTGTGTGTTCAGTCTCAAGTATGTATACAAACGCGTAAGTGGTGTCACAGATAATACAATGTTAAGACTCATCTAAATTTCCTTTTTCTGAGATTAGGGCCCATTTTTGTAGAGGTTGGGATTTATTTTCCTGTCGATTTATATCTCGTGTATAGCTAAAACTCAGAATGAATGAAGTGATCTAGATAGCAAAAATGGGTGTCTTAGGCTATACTGAGGCACGGAGGTAAGCCCTGCTCCTCCCGGCTTTGAACACAGGTTACTCGGTTCCCATTTCTGTTTTGGAGCTTCTCTTCTTTAATTGTGTTAGGTATTACTAACCGATGGCAGAATTCTAGGGCCCTTCTAGAAGCGAACATTCCATTCGCAATCTGTTACTGTTCATTTCTTGCCTTGATTTTAGCCCCATCTTCACTGTCTCGGTTTGTCACCTTCTACTAGAACCTTTTTGGGGGAGGAGGGGTGTTATTGTGAGAGCAGCTAGTGGGAAGATTGAATGTAGTACACGGCTGAAAAAAAATGGACTCTTGCCTTTTACTTCACTGTCATTGAGAGTGATATTTAATTTCCTATGCTTCTGGCGATGTTAAATTCTTAAAATGATTTGTATAGGTTTTCTCTCTTGATTCTAAACAGTATTTTTAGGATAGGGATTATCACTTTCTTGAAAGCTTGGTAAAATACTGTGTTAGTGTCAGCAGGCGAGGGAATACCTTCTACTACTGGTTCGGTACTATTTAACACTTTTGTGACAGTCATTAGTTTATTCAACTTTGCAATATAATCTTGATCATACGAATTTCAATAATTTGCATCATTTTTATTTTTCTAGACTATCCTTTTTATCTAGCCTCTCAAATTTACTATCTGTTTTATTACTCTTTTAAAATACCAACTTTTTGGGGTGCCTGAGTGGCTCAGTCGGTGAAGTGTCCAACTCCTGATTTCTGCTCAGGTCATGATCTCAGTTCGTGAGACCAATCCCCTGTGCGTTGGCTTGGGCTTGGGATTCTCTGTGTCCCTCTCTTTCTGACCCTCCCCTGCTCGGACGTGCCCTCTCTCGCTCTCTCTCTTTCAAAATAAATAAACATAAACAAACCCAACTTTTTATTTTCTTGATAATACAATTTCTCTGGTTTCTGTGTTAGTGATTTCTGTCCTTCATAATGTCTTCTGTCAGCATTTCTTAAATTCTTCATCATTCATTTTAGCTCTAACAGAATCTTGATATTGCAGGCAGAAGGATCTAGATGTCAAGCCCTACCATGTCTTTCTCTCTCTCTTTTTTTTAATAAGCAATTAAAATTTTATTTTATTTATTTATTTTTTTTAAGAAAGAGAAAACATGAAGGGGAGAGGGAGAGAGAGAAACATTTTTTTTTTAAGTTTATTTATTTTGAGAGAGAGTGGGCAGGGGAGGGGCAGTGAGAGGGAGAGAGAGAATTCTATGTCACTGTCAGCGCAGAGCCCAACGTGGGGCTTGAACCCACAAACAGAGAGCTCATGACCTGAGCCAAAATCAAGAGTCAGATGCTTAACCCACTAGGCCACCCCGGTGCCCCAGAGAATCTTCAACAGGCTCCGTGCCCAGTGCAGAGCCCAACACAGGGCTCGATCCCATGGCCCTGGGATCACAACCTGAGCCAAAATCAAGAGTTGGATGGTCGGGGCGCGCCTGGGTGGCTCAGTCGGTTGAGCGTCCGACTTCGGCTCAGGTCATGAGCTTGCAGGTCGTGAATTCGAGCCCCGTGTCGGGCTTTGTGCTGACAGCTCAGGGCCTGGAGCCTGTTTCGGAGTCTGTGTCTCTCTCTGTCTCTGCCCCCTCCTCGCTCGCTCTCTCTCTCTCTCTCTCTCAAAAATAAAGATTTTTTTTTAATTAAAAAAAAAAGTTGGACACTCAACTGACGGAGCCGCCCAGGTGCCCCTCTTTCTCTTACTAAAGACTCAGTGTCTTTGGTCATCACCTGTGAGATAAATCGTCATTTTTTTCCATGCTCTTATGTGACCATTGTGATCTGGTACATCCCCCACCACTTGTACTCCAGCTCTGCCAAATTATTTGTGCCGTCCTAGACGAGCCGTGCTGGCTCACCCTGACTCTTCTCGGTGTCTGCTGTTCCCCCTTCCCGGGACACCCTTCCATGTCTGTTCTCCCACCTGTTATGAGATCCTGATGGGCTATTCTGTTCATCTTTTTATCCCCACTCCTTGTCACCTTGTAGACATCTAATAATGCCAAATAAATTGTCTTGACAGAAAACTCTTTTTTCTATTCAGGTTAGGTGTTTTGGTGTGACGAAATATATATAACATGATGTTTACCGTTTTGACCATTTTTAAGTGCACGGGTCAGTGGCAGTAAATAGATTCGCATTATGTCTGTGACCAGCATCCATCTACCAGATTTTTTCATCACCCCAAACTGAAACTGTACTCGTTAAACCCTAACTCCCCGTTTCCCTCTACCCCACCAGACCCCAGTGACCTCTGTTCTCCTTTCTGTCTCTATGAACGTGACTGTTCTAATCTCCTCTTATGAGTGGAATCATACAGAGGTTGCCCTTCTGTGACTGGCTTCTTTCACTCACTCTAATGTCCTCAAGGTACCTCCACATTATGGTCGTGTGTCAGAATTTCCTTCCCTTTTAAGGCTCAATACTATCCTGTTGTCGTGTAGGCCACATTTTGTTCGTCTCTTCATCGGCCGTTGGACATTTTGAGTTATTCCCACCTTTTGGTGATCACAGATAATGCTGTTCTCAACATTGGTGCACAGATAGATGTTCGAGTCCCTTCTTTCAGTCCTTTGGGTATACACCCAGGAGTGGAGTCGCTGGACTGTAGGGTAGCACTGCGTTTGCTTTGTTTAAGAACTGCCTTGCTGTTTCCCGTAGCAGTTGCTCCAGTTGTGTATTTGCACCAACAATACACAAGGTTCCAGGGCGCCCCGTCCTCACCAACACTCCTCTTTTCTGTATTTTTCTTACACAAGCCATCCTAAGAGATGGGAAGTGTTGTCTCACGTGCTCTGGATTTACGTTTCCCTGATGGTTAGTGTTGTGAAGCATCTTTTCATGGACTTTTTGACCATTTATGTGTCTTCTTTGGAGAAATGCCTTTTGCTCACTTATTAATGGGGTTGTTTGTTTTTTATGCCGCTTAGTTTTAAGAAGAATATCTCAAGATTCCAAGTTGAGATGAATACCGAAATACCGAAATAATTTATCAATGTATTCGAGGACTCAGTGTTCATAAAATTTGGGGAATTATGGAGAATGTGAAAAGGGTCAGAAAGCAGAAACATAAGCACTGACTATAGTAGGAAATAGGTGGTTTGTAAACATGTAATCACTAGACCCCCCCCAATTACCCACTTAAACCTCATTTCCCTTTTGCTAGGGTTATTAGCGCCTCTTACGTGGACACAGTGTGGTTGATTGTGATCTGGAATTAGTGCTAAGTTTCGTGGATTTCTAGCTAAAGGTACTTTTAAGTCTCAAGAAACTTTTTTGCTTCATTTTTAAAATATTCACTTTGAGAGAGAGCAAGCGCACGAGCAGGGGAGGGGCAGAGAGAGGGACACTGTCAGCGCAGAGCCTGACACGGGGCTCGAACTCACCAACCGTGGGATCGTGACCTGAGCCGAAATCAAGAGTCAGACGCTTAACCGACTGAGCCACCCAGGTGCCCCTAAAGAACCTTTCTTTAAGCAGCAAGTTGAAGCGTTTATCTTTATACGGACTTCATCTGTTGAGAACCAAATGTATGTTATGTACAACTGTCACAAACCTGGGAAATGTGTCCACGGACAGAATGAGAACTTAGAAATATATTCAGAGGATTGAGTTATGGGACAAAACCCAGCAAGTGACATTTCAAAAGGATAAATTGAACACCTTCCAGTTAGGTAAAGAGAGAACATGAACTCCCACGAAGACCGAGTCAGGGGGTCCTGAACCGCAGAAGAGAAGTAGGGATCATAGTTGGCCCCAAGCTGAACAGGACTCGTTAGAGTAACCTGGCTGCCAGTAAGTCCAGTGCTGTCTTTAAATGCCTTAAAAAAAAGTCCAAAGAATAATTCAAGATTGTTTTTCTGTTGAGCACACTTTTCTCTTGGTTGTCCCCATAGGGGCTTCACGCACATATTTTCCTCTATTCGTCGTTTGCAGATACGACAAACTAAATGATTAGGCTGACAAGATTCAGTTAGCAAATATTAACTGAGCATGTATTTTATGTGAGTCGCTAGACGGTTACTGCTCCTTTACAACAAAAAATAAATACAAACATATACACCTGATGACACGTACAAATCACATATGCAAATGATCGTAATGCAAAGTGGAGTGTGATACATGCCACAGAGACAGCGAGATCCAAGAAGCCTCATGAAGAAAGGATCTTAACAGAATTGGGACAAATGGAGATAAATGGAGAGATCGTTCTTCGTATGAAAGAGGCACGTGTAAATCTGCAAAGGCATGAAACACGGCGTGGCTCAATCAATAACGAGTTGTTCAGAATGGCCAGTGTATATAATAAGTTAGAGATAGCGTTCTTGGGCCAGTGGGGACAATTTTATATTGCGGTGCAAATTTTAGAATTTACACTGTCAATTCTAGGCAGGCGGGAGCCATCAAAAATTAAGTGACCTGTTGAGATTTTTGCCTTCAGGAAATAGAACTGGCAGTAATATGCGAGACTTCTTTACACACATCTTACTTAGTCCTTGCAGTTGAGCTATGAGTCGGGTCCCGTTTTTATCCTCATTCGTAGATGAGGAACTCAGGTGTAGAAAGGTTCATCGCTCAGTCAGAAGCAGAAGTCTCCTTAAACCCTGATCTGCCCAACCCCAACCCCGTCTGCCCGACCCCGTGGGATCTGCCCAACCCACGCTGCCACCACTCGCCCGTGCTGATCACCGTTGGCGCCTAGAGAAGGGGTGAGGGGGAGGAGGGCACTACGGCGGGAGAGGTCGCGTGTTCTCGCGCTCACAGTCCTGTAAGGCATAGAGACAGGTCCTTTATTGTTTCGACTGACCCGTTGTAAATGAATCGAGTAACAAGTCTTCTTTCCTGTGTTGTTCTTCTGCACGTTGGAAAGCCTTCTGTGCATAGTGTCTGTTAACAGGTATGGCTCTTCTTTTCGCCAGCTCCTTGGGACCGAGCGCGTCGAAGACGGTCGGGAATGCGGCATCAGTTAAGCGAAAAGAATCTTCCCAGAGCGCAGCTCGATCAAAAGAAAAGAAAAAAAAGAAATCAGCACTCGATGAAATCATGGAGGTATAGTTTACCAGCCGCGTGTCGACTTTTCAGCTGTTAGAGGAATGACGTAGTTCGGATTGAGGAAGGTTAGGTAGTTTTGCCGGTTCTTAGATTAATGAAAGTCAAAAGATGTGTGGACACTGGGTTAGGGGAGGGGTGTAGATCAGATGGAACTAAAGGGGTTGGAAACCCCCCATCAAAGTTTATTTTGTCGCTTCAAGTGCTGCCTTCGGAACTCTCCGTGTGTTCCGGTCAGTGAAATTCAGGCAGCAGGGCTGTGGCGGGGTCGAGAGCAGGAAGGAGCAGCTCTGTTTACCTCCCGTGGCTCCTCCGTGACACTGGCATCCTCCACGGATTCCCTCCCACCACCCTGCGCCCTCCTGTCGCCTCTGCCTTCCACTTGCCACCCCCCGGCCAGCAAGACAAAGCCACGACGTACTTTTCATTTGACTGGACCTGATGCCAGGCCTGCGTGATGAATCACTGAAAACCTGTCATTTAGGATCCGGGGCCAGACTTTGGCTCTAAATCTACTGCAGCTCTAGAGCGGTGCTGCAGGACGTTGTTTAATACATTCCCTTTTTTTTCCCTTTAATTTTTTTAAATTATTTATTTATTTTTTATTTTATTTATTCAATTTATTTGTTTTTCTTAATATTTGAGAGAAAGAGAGAGACAGGGCACAAGCGGGGGAGGGGCAGAGAGAGAGAGGGAGACACAGAATCCGAAGCGGGCTCCAGGCTCCGAGCTGTCAGCACAGAGCCCGAAGTGGGGCTCGAACTCTCGAACCACAAGATCCTGACCGAGCCGAAGTCGGACACTTAACCGACCGAACCACCCCAGTGCCCCGATATATTCCTAAATCTTCCTCTCTCCCTCTCCACACATAGCCTTACCTGATCAATCAATTTGTGAACCAAATAGAAAAGGAGAAGGACAGGTGAAGAGAAAGAATAAATGGATATAAGAAGCTAACTTTTTTTTTTTTTCTGTACCATCATTTCCTCTAGTCTCCCCAAACCCTCCTCTTCAGTTGTGAAGGGTTGAGAGGGAGCTATTTGGTCTTCCCCGTTACTGGGCGCTCCTACAATGCAGGCCAGTCTAAAAAATTGAGATACGGTCGCTCCGTCACTGAGCAAATACTGAGTTGTGTTATGTGCTGGGCATTGTGCAAGGTCCTGTGTCTGCATAGTAGGGAGCAAAATACAGTCCCTGTGGGTCATGCTAGTAAGAGGGACGTCCCACGAACAAGTGAACCAGTGAGTGAGTTATTACAAAATGATAAGTGCTAAGGAGGTCAGAGGGCGGGCCGTGGGGGAGAGCTTGGGAAAAGGTGCTACGACAGGGAAGATCTCAACCTCAAGCATATGAAGGAAAGATCCACGTGGCTGGAGCGTGGTGAGTGCGAGAGTGGTAGCATTTGAGGTTCGAGAGAGGAGGGGGAGTGACCTCTTAGATATCTTAATAGGCCATGGCAGAGTTTCTGAATCTAATTCAAAGTCAAATGGAAAGCTACATCTACCCGCTTGGTGAGGCATGCTAAATTTAGAATGCTCTTTGTTCATATTGGAAAATTGGAGAAATTAAAATGAGACTTATTACCAACCAAAGAATTGCAGTGTTCTGGCCCCTCGAAAGTTGGTACTTAGGGTTCACTTAAGGCAGCTGAGGAAGAAGGAGGGGTGATACAGCCCCACAGCGGCCAGACGGCACTCTTCTTTTGGACGCCCTTTTGCTTATGTCTCTCCAGGTTATATTTTTCTTCCCCTATATTCACAGGATTTATTGTCCTTATCAAACAGAGAAGCCCCTTTTTGCCATCAGAGTGTAGATAGAACTAACCATGCTGTGCAAAACTGGTATTAAGTGTGTATTAAGGTGCTTGTTTTAATGTTTCTTTATTTTGAGAGACAGCATGAGCAGGGGAGGGGCAGAGAGAGAGGAGAGAGAGAGAATCCCAAGCAGGCTCTGCCCTGTCAGCACAGAGCCGGACACAGGGCTCGATTCCATGAATCATGAGATCAGGACCTGAGCTGAAATCATGGGTCGGACGCTTAATCCACTGAGCCACCCAGGCGCCCCGTGTTCTGTTTTTACCACAAAAACATTGCTTGTTTTCCAGCTCATGACAGTCACGTGGGGGGAAGAAGGGAGGGGGCAGTATAGCGCTGGCAGATGGCCTTGCAGTGTTGACCAAGTAGAGGCCGCTTGTATTTGTTTTCTTGGTCAGTTGACTTGCTTTATCACATATTGTTATCAAATCAAGTTCGTTTGTTTTTTCTAAAGATTTTGTTTTTAAGTAATCTCTACACCCAACATGGGGCTTGAACCCATAACTACAAGATCAAGAGTAGCCCGCCTCGCAGACTAAACCCGCCAGGTGTCCCCCAAGTGTTTTTTTGAAATCAAAAATTAATTGCAAAAAAAGTTTATTTGTATTTGCCAGAGCTTGTAAGTTACACGGAGCCCCTTTCAGGTATATGTTTTATGGTGTTCTTTCGTTAAATAGAATGGTATTTGAAATGAATTAAGGATTTTAATGAGAGAATTCTGTGAATGTCTTATGTGTTCTACAGATCGAGGAGGAAAGGAAAAGAAGTACCCGAACAGACTACTGGCTACAGCCTGTACGTATTCAGCTGGAGTTCTCGAGTTCTAAACGCTTTTTAAAAAGAGTGAATGATTCAATGAGCATTTGGTATAAATGACTTAAGTTTCTCAAACATACTTAAATCCTATGGATAGACTTTCCTGACTTTTCTTTTCATCCGATCTTAAATTATCAGTTACACCTGTATTAGAGAGTAACTTCCCGTTTATAGGCTGGTGAGACTCCTTGAGTTTTGCCAGATTTGTTTGTGGACATCTTGAATTGAAGCCTGGAATCGTTTCCAGTGTTTGCTAGAAGACAAGGGTTGTGTTTTCAGAAATGGGGCTGAAATGTAGAATTGTGAAAGCAGAAGTATTTGTTTTCAGTTTGCAGCTTATTGAACTTAGATTATCCCTTAAGGTACTTTGTTGAACAAAGGTGGTTTTAATTTTACAAACTCAAGTAGAGTTTTGTATTTTATTGTGTATTTATTGTTCTATTGTTTTAAGATAATAATTTTGAAATATTTAAATAATTACCAGAAATTGTTACAGTTTGCTGATGCTCTGTTTTGAGCTTAGATGTGAAATTTTCGGAAGACTTTCAGGGTGCCTTCATTATTCTTTGAGAAGCTGGTTTGATCAGTGACAGGAGACCGGAAGGTAGTGAGAGTGTGTCATTTAGATAATTTTGATTAGAAACATAAGGTTAATAATAACCTTGATGGTCCGGAAGTCGTGAGCTCTCATTCAGGTCTTCGTGGTCCTTCTCCCTCTAGCTTGAAAACTCAGATCACTGATTTCATGTCTTAGTCTGTGGTCTTCTACCTGGGAGACATTTCCACCCGGTGACCCCAGGAAGCATCGTGCAGTAATTCAGCTAACATGGAAATACTTATTGTGTTACATTACATAGTGAATGAATCCTTTGTGTGAATCACTTCAACTAATTCTTATATGAGCCCTGTAAGGTAGTTATTGTTATGATTCCCATTTTATAGGTGAGAAAACTGAGGCAGAAAGCATTTGGGGGATTTCCCCAGGGCCTCAGAATAAGCACTTAGGCAGCTTTCTCTGGCAGTCTCATTCAGCAGGCTGTGCTCTGAGCGAGTGAACGTGCTGCTTCCTGTGATGTCTCAGGCACCCGGACTCCCCGGCTGTAGCATGGGTCGGTCACGATTAGTAAGGGATGGGCCGAAGGGAAGTTTTGTGTGTTTTCTCCATCACAGTAGCTAGCATTTGAATATTAATAGTTTGATTACTGTTTATGAAAATGTAATCAAGAATTTAGTCGAGAGGCGCCTGGGTGGCTTGGTTGCCTAAGCCTCCCGCTCTTGACTTCAGCTCAGGTCATGATCTCACGGTCGTGGGATAGAGCCCCTAGTCGGACTCCACACAGGGCATGGAGGCTGCTTAAGGGTCTCTCTCCTTCCTCTGCTCACTCACGTGCTCTCTCTCTCTCTCTCTCTCTCTCTCTCTCTCTCTCTCTCAAAAAAGAAAAGGAAGAAAAACAATTTTTTTTTCCTGAAAGCAATTGTTCTTACCCAGAGAGTAATTCACAAATCTTTAGAGAAGTGTTTTTTCCAAATTACATATGTTTTCCTACTATCGCCATCCCATCTCGTGGGGTGAAATGCATATTCTCATCAGTCTCCTAGGTGATTCTGATGTACGCCCTTCCTTACGAATCATTGGTTTAAAGGAAAAAGAAAGGAAACCAAAAGCAAAAGAAAAAAAAAAAAAGACAACGCTTTCTACGTTTTAGCTAGTCCAAAAATTCTCTTCCCATTGATAATACTTCCAATTCAATTGTATTTCCTGTTTGATAATTCTCTTATAACAAATTATTCAAATTCTCTTCCTACTTCCTCTTACGGAGTGTTACATTCAAAGGGAGGGTCAGCCAACAGTGCCATGATGATTCCATGTGTCTCTTATGTTGAAATGGGCAGTATGTTTGTTAAAATAACCAGCAGTCCCTCGAGCTAGATTGGAGAACTTTAGTGTTTAAACTGAGTAAAGAAATATTTTGAACTGATCTATTGTGTGAGCAAGTGTCAGTAAGCCCAGTGATGTAATAAGTTAGCTTCAGATTATGAGTGTGTACCCATGAGGGCCTTTGAGAAATTGAGGCCAGAAATACTCTGATTAAATCAGGGAAGCTGTTTTGGCATCATTTGGCTTCACTTAGAAAGTCTTAAGACCGTTCACGTTTTCTCTTAAGCATGTCTTTCTACAGTTCCACACCCTCCCCCCAAAGTGCTCACTGAATTTTGATTAATATAATTTTTGGCCTGGCTTAGTGAAGTACTCGTGACCATCTAGTACCTCTGTTATATTCACTTGAAGTAGCAAATTCAGAATCGCTATAGTGACTATAGCATGAAGTCAGGCGATTTATTTTTCCCAATCCGCCATTAGACAGCTAGTCTAAATCAGCAACATGATGATAAAGAAGCAAACCCAGAATGCACGAATATGAAATAAGCCCAGATTTCTCTCCCACTTGAGAATTAGATGTTCAGAAGAACGATACTTTTAGCTGGAGCTAATCTGGAAGAATCCTGTGTGTATCAAAAATTCAGAGTAACATCACGAGAAGAGAACATTCTGGAAAAATGTCATGCGTAAGCTCAAAGACATTTCCCTGCAATTCCCAGTGAGACTTGCCATCTGAGTTTTTATCAGCACTAAACACCAACGGTGTTAATATCTTTGGCACCTTTCACTTCCTTGAATGGAAAGAAAGCAGCTCTCTCTGAAAGACCTGGATTAACAGGGTTGAGACTGACAGATGAAAAGTCCTCTAATTTCAGGGGACCTTCAGCGTGGAAATCAGCCTCGAGACAGGTATTTTCTCCTTCTCGGTAACCACATCGAATAAAGGGAGAAAGAAGAAATAAAAGATCACTAAGGGAACGTTTTGCCATGATTGGAAAGGCTTAGAACACCCGGATTTTTTCCTTAGCAGAGCAGTTACACTTTGCTATGATTTTTGGCGAGCATGGTTTAAATGAAGGAGTGAAACAGAGAAGATAACTTTCATCTTTATTTTTTTGTTGTTATTTTCTAGGAAATCATTGTAAAAATTATAACCAAAAAACTCGGAGAGAAATATCATAAGAGAAAGGGTGTTGTTAAGGTAAGGCTGTGAGGCTGTGAGTGGATTCTGTGAATTGACCGAATAAAGCCTTTTTGGTGTTCCTGAAAGGTCAAGTCCTCAGGGCAGAAGCATTGTGTCTGAGGTTCTTGATGGTTCTGTAGAAGGAGAGCTGACTTCATAATTGGCGGAAAAATGATTCGTTTGCAACCGTAATTTATATTAATACATACCGTGTGCTTTCCTCCTGGAGTAAACAGTATGTATGAAGTCCCAGGGGTGCCACGTAAACTCCCTCACTCACTGTGCAGGCCTTGCTAATCAGTGAGATGCATCCTCTTTGTTGACAATGGGCAATAAATATGATTATGTGCCTGGAGTTCCAAGGAGGGCTTCCTTGTTGTGTTTTGCCTGGGAGACTTTCGGCCGCTCTAAGATTTGAAAATTTGAAAGTCAGCGCTGCAGTCCTTTTTCCTCTTTGCCGTCCCCTAAGAGTTTTATTCTAGCACCCAGCACTGAGCGTGCATAAGTGCCCTTCTACTGTACTCGAAGCTGAGCATTGTCCCTCTCACTGTGTGTATCAAAGTCTTGTTCTAAGAACGCCGACCAGTCTTTCATTCTTTGCAGATGAAAAGCCTCACTCGGCCTTGAATTGAATTCTTTATTAGGAAGCATAGAACCACTATCCTGTATACCTGAAACCAACATGTAAAAACTGTGTCTTAAATAGACTGGAACTCAAATGGAAAGCGTAATGAAATTTAAACAAATTTTAAGAAGCATAGGAGAAGTCGTATATGGAATCTAAAATAGTGTCATTGATAGGAGGAGTTACTCTTCCCATTTGACTGGAATGCCGTTTGTTTTCATCTTACCTATTTCTGTCCTTTGAAATTTGTGTTCACGTATTTCTGCTACTATAAAAGTGTTGATTTCACATGACAGGAAGTAATTGACAAATACACAGCTGTCGTCAAGATGATCGACTCCGGAGACAAGCTGAAACTTGACCAGACTCATTTAGAAACAGTAATTCCAGCACCAGGTAAATCTTTCTGCAGACCATTTAACCTGTATGCTATCAAAATGAGTGATTCCATCCTTAAAACCATAGTTTTTTGACATTACCGGGTAGTTGTAGATGGGTTTCCTTTTTAGAAATATACAGCTGCCAGTGTAACTGATGCTCTTGATTTCAGGTGACGCGGTGGGTCTACCAGTCCTCTGCGAAAGCGCTTTTGTGGCATGAATAAGTTTTCCCTTCCTAAGATCCTTTTTTTCCGAAAGCAACATACAAACTCATAGGGAGAAAAAGTCACTCAGACGCAGGTTATTGTTAATATATCTCTTTAGCTGCCTGAGGTAGTGAAGTAAAAGTCTCTGCTGTTTGGCTTTTTCTTTTGCTTAATGGTCTTTATCATTTGAGTAGTTCTGATATCTCGTTTGAATGCTGCTTCGGTTGGGTTGCCTGCCTCAGACCCGACCCTTCATAGTGACAGCACAGTGATCGTGTTAGTCTCCAAAACTGCTTATCAGGTCCTTTATTCTCTCCCCGGAAAATAAAACTCATTTTATGGCTGAAAAAAAAAGAAATTTTTTAGCTTTAATGAGATGTAATTGACACACGATAAATTGCACTTGTGTAAAGTATACAATTTGATCAGTTTTAAGACACGAATATTCTCTGAAACCATCCCTACAATCAGGATAATGAATGTATCCATCACCCCCCCCCATTTCCTCACTCCCCTTTATCCTTCCCTGCCACCCCTCCACTGCTGCCTCCCATGTCCCCAAGACAACCACCTTTCTGCTGTCTGTCACTATAGATCCGTTTATTTCTATCTAGAATTTTGTATGAATAAAATCATACCATGTGTCTTGTTTTTTGGTCTGGATCTTTCAGTACGTGTAATTATTTTGGATTCGTGCCTGTTGTCACATGTATGTGTCTGTAGCTCACTTCTCTCTGTTGCTGTGTTTCCCGGTGTGGATATGCTACTTCTTGTTCATTCAGTCACCTGTTGATGGACATGTGTCTTGTTTACAGTTTGGGGCTGTTGCAAATAAAATTTCCAAGAATATTCATACGCAAGTCCTTCTATGGACATGTGGTTTCTCCCCTATTGCGAAGATACTTAGAAATAGAATGGCTCCCTCATAGTAAGAGCCAAAGCAATCTAAATTTCTTTTCTTTTCTTTTCTTTTTTTTTTTAGTGATTATTTATTTTTGAGACAATGCAAGAGACAGAGTGCAAGCAAGGGAGGGGCAGACAGAGGGAGACACAGAATCTGAAGCAGGCTCCAGGCTCTGAGCTGTCAGCCCAGAGCCCGACGCGGGGTTCGAACTCACAAGCCGTGAGATCATGACCTGAGCTGAGGTTGGACACTTAACCGACTGAGCCACTCAGGCACCCCAGTCTGAATTTCTTTCTAATGATTTCTGGGCTCTGAACATTTTCCCTTCCACTCCTTGCAGGTTAAGTTTCCTCTGACAAGTGGAAAAAAACGTGAGGAGTCTTAGAATGCTATAGCGATCAGAGTATCTCCGGACTATACTTTAGAGTGTTGCAGAGTTCTGAAATGATTAAGAACTCAGAGGGGTTTTGTTTTTTGTTCTGTTCATTCACTGTAATTGCATTTTGCTGTAACAAAGTAGAAGAAAGAAGCAAATGTTTCTTCGCGTTCAGTGTTCTATTCTATCGTAGGGAAAAGAATTCTCGTTTTAAACGGAGGCTACAGAGGAAATGAAGGTACCTTAGAATCCATCAATGAGAAGACTTTTTCAGCTACCATAGTCATTGAAACTGTAAGTACGTTTCCACAGAGAAATTCCTAAAGGGCTTTAAAAATGTGCCATAGTTTTTTTCATTGGGTTGGTCTTTGTTTTAGAGCTGGGGTTTGTCGTCTGTCTTCTCTGCTGTTTGGAAATCTGTAAGCTTAGTCTTTGTAACTCTGCCATTGCTGAAGGATTGTATTTTCTGATTTTAAAAGAAATGCAGATGTGGCTTAGTCCACTTGAGCTGGTGTAACAGAATATACCATATACTGGGTGGCTGATAAGTAAATAATTTCCACGGTTCCGAAGGCTGGAAGTCTAAGAATAAGGCACTGGCCGACTTAGTGTCTGGTGAGCGCCCACTTCCTAGTTCATGTGCTCTCATATGGTGGAAGGGACAAAGCTCTCTGGGGTCTGCTTTACAAGGGCACTAATCCATTCATGAGCGCACACCCCCATGACCTAATCACTCCCCAAAGGCCACCCGCCAGATACTGTCACACTCGGCGTTAGGTTGCAGCTCTGAATTCTGGGTGGGACACATCCAGTATAGCAATGCTTATTGTTTTAAGACCTGAAAATGACAATTTAATATAAATAACTTTAAAAATTACCAATAATCCTCCAGCCAGATAACCCCCTTTAATATTTTGACCTGTTCCTTTTCAGTCTTTGTATTTTACAAAATTGTATACAATATGTACAGTTTCACATTCTGACTTTTTTCTTTCACATCCAGTATAAAACTCAATTTGACATACAATTAGCGGGGAATATAGAGTCAGAATTAATGACGGGAAAAGCCCAGAGATCACTATTTTAAGGTTTTTTTTTAATTTAATTTTTTATTTTTTTAAATTTACATCCAAATTAGTTAGCATAGAGTGCAACAATGATTTCAGGAGTAGATTCCCTAATGCCCCTTACCCATTTAGCCCATCCCCCCTCCCACAACCCCTTCCATAACCCTCAGTTTGTTCTCCATATTTATGAGTCTCTTCTGTTTTGTCCCCCTCCCTGTTTTTATATTATTTTTGTTTCCCTTCCCTTATGTTCATTTGTTTTGTCTCTTAAAGTCCTCATAGGAGTGAAGTCATATGGTTTTTGTCTTTCTCTGACTAATTTCACTTAGCATAATACCCTCCAGTTCCATCCATGTAGTTGCAAATAGCAAGGTTTCATTCATTTTGATTGCCGAGTAATACTCCATTGTATATATATACCGCATCTTCTTTTCCATTCATCCATCGATGGACATTGGGGCTCTTTCCATACTTTGGCTATTGTCGATAGTGCTGCTATAAACATGGGGGTGCCTGTGTCCCTTCAAAACAGCACACCTGTATCCCATGGATAAATGCCTAGTAGTGCAATTGCTGGGTCGGAAGGGTAGTTCTATTTTTAGTTTTTTGAGGAACCTCCATACTGTTTTCCAGAGTGGCTGCACCAGCTTGCATTCCCATACATTTTTTTTTTTAATGTTTATTCATTTTTGAGAGACAGAGAGAGACAGAATGTGAGCGGGAGAGGGGCAGAGAGAGAGAGAAAGACACAGAATCTGAAGAGGCTCCAGGCTCTGAGCTGTCAGTACAGAGCCCGACATGGGGCTCGAACTCACAAGCCATGAGATCATGACCCGATCCGAAGTCGGACGCTTAACCGACTAAGCCACCCAGGCACCCCCAGAGATCACTATTTTAAATAGTCCTTCCTTTCTTTCATAAAGGATTAAAAGGTAGCAGAGATCAGTAAAGTAATTTCTGGAAATCTGATGTACAGGTCAAGTTGTTGACTGAAGTAGACTGGATGGCTCACTGACAGTCTGTGGGCGCCCCAGTGAGGCCTGAGATGTCTCTTGAGGGAAGGAAGGGCCTGAAACAGGCTTTTCCGTCACTGCCTAATGCGTTTTGGAACTCTGAATGATGGGGCGGGGACTCTCCAAGTGAAATCCGTTTTCACGCCCAGTGTAGGAAGCATCAGCATGTGGGAGGCGGGATAAGAGACCCCTCGGAGAGTCTGGTGACCGTCCTGAGCGCTCTCCAGGACTTGGGGGTGTAACTGCCCACTTTCATGTGTTGCCTGAAGGGGGTCGGAGGCATCTAGACCCGTCTCTGGACTGCGTTCCAGAAAATCAGGTGGGTCCTTATTTGAGAGATACCACATTTAAGTAAATGGAGCATTTTTTCCCGGTCTCTGTCTACACGAATTCAGCAACTGTGACTGACACAAACTAGAAGGGAAGAAAAGGAAGAGGAATCTCTCTGTTACTGAGAAAATTCTCCATCTGACTAAATTAATAGATTGAATTTTGTTTTGTTTTTTTTTTTAACTCCGTTTTTCTCTCTGACTCAGGCAGCATAAGGTCATGGAACATCTAGCATTTCCTTGGAAACGATTCTCCTGCACTTTTAAAATTCATAGTAGCATCCAATTTAGATCCCGCCTCAACTCGGGTTTTCATCTCAGGGAGACGCAAAACAACTAATTAGCAGGGAGGGCTTTCTGGGTTCCACGCAGATACCTTCGGGCTAGTCTGTGGTTTTCACGGACTTGTTTCTTTTCTCCCTCGCCGTGACCCCACTTGGGCCTCCCTTCTGAGCTTGCGTGGCTTAAAGAGCTGGGCTGGGGTAGGACTAGGAGGCGTGCCCACAAGAGGCTGGCTGCCTGGGAAGCGGCAGGTACTTGTCCAAGAAACCTGCGTATTGTTTTTCCTTTGGCAGCCTGCCCCGCCCCATTTAAAAGAAATGTGTGTGTGCGTGTGTGCACTTGTGTACGTCCCCACAATTGCTTCAAGTCGTTGCCGTGCAACACACAAACTTCCGAGTGATTTCTCCTGCTGTGTTTATCCCTTCCGACATCTTCAATTATAGCATCAGTATCAACGTCTTTGAAATTTACTCGTTTATTAGGCAGATTTTTAAATAGCTGACGAGTTATTCAGAAAGTCTCAGCCTTTTAGCCCAGCTGTTTGCCTAGCTGACCAAATGAGCGGCTCCCTTCTTACTCCCCGATTTTGTGTTCTTCTCATAAAAGCCTACCTGACCGTGGGCCCTCACACTTGATAATGAAAGAGGCAACCTGAGTCATGCTTTATTTGGGAACTTGTTTCCATTGAATACAGTCATTATTATATGTTAAAAAGAATAGCATTTTTAAAAGCATTGTTAAGGGAAGGTGTGATTCTTCACAAACAACGTGAAAATCTCACTTCAAGGTTAGAGTCATTATCATCATCATCATCATTTAAAAAAAAAATTTTTTTTTTAATGTTTATTTATTTTTGAGACAGAGAGAGGCAGAGCATGAACCGGGGAGGGGCAGAGAGAGAGGGAGACACAGAATCCGAAGCAGGTTCTAGGCTCCGAGCTGTCAGCCCGGAGCCCGACGCAGGGCTCGGACTCACGGACCGCGAGATCGTGACCCGAGCCAAAGTCAGACGCTCAACCGACTGAGCCGCCCAGGCGCCCCAGGAACAGCTCTTTTCCAAGGGGCGACTTGTGAGGAGCCCGGGGTTTTTCCAGCTCGTGTCTCCGTCACCTTCACCGAGTGACTTTTATACTTAGCGTGCTCTTGTGCTTCAGACAGGCCAAGGCCGAGCGTGCTGGGCTGCACGTGCGGGCAGCGTGGCGTGGCCTGGCCTGGAGGTGGCCCGCGTCACTTCTGTTCACCTCTGCGGCCGGAGCTCCATCTCATGTCCGTACCTCACCCCATAGGGAGCCAGGGAAAGTATCCAGGGAGCAGAGGAGATACAGAACAGCCAGCAGGTGCCTGCCACACCGTGTAGGGATAGCACATCTCACACGTCATCGAAGAAACCGTGGCGCTTCCTAATGAGAAGGCCGTAGAATATTTTAAAAGTCACAGTCGTACGGAAATGTTAGCTGCCGTCATGGTGTTGTAGGGGTATGGGAGAGACAAATTTGGACCTTTAAGTGTGGTGTCATTTTCTTGTCTTGTAAGTATATGTGTGTTTTTAATCTTTTCTTCAATCATTTTAATTTGTAGGGCCCTTTAAAAGGACGCAGAGTCGAAGGAATTCAATATGAAGACATTTCTAAACTTGCCTGAGTTTGAAAATTTGTTAACACATTAAAATCCTAAAGCATCAAATTGGTGTTCACCAAGGCATTATAAGACTCTACTGTGTTAGGGTGTTTCTTTTGTATAAAGCAAATGGATTTATTTAAATATTACTGTATAGTTGTTCAGCTAAGCTTATAGAAAAATCGAATTATGTCTCATGAAGTATCAAAACAATGTAATTTTGTTTTTACTGGTTTGGTTTCCTTTGTAATATTGCCTTAAAGATTTTTTATCTTCATTAAAAGAATGTTATCGTAAAGTGTTTTATATAAGACAATTTAGAATCGTGTAGAGGAAATCCTTCATATACTCTATAGTTGCAGTGGTAACGTTGAACTATAAATCTAATTACACTTTAAAAAGTCAGACTATAGAGTCCCGGCTTTATTGAGCTAGAGTTCACGCACGGTATCATGTACAGTTCGGTGGCTCTTAGTATACGTACAGAGATGTGCACCCATCATCACTATTTACTCTTAGAGCATTGTCATCGCCGCAGAAGGAAACCCTGTGCCCGTGGTCTCTCCCTGTCCTCCCACCTTCCCCAGCCCCTGGCAACCACTAGTCTACTTTCGGTCTCGGGGACTTGCCCATCCTGGACGTTTCGTATCAGTGGAATCGTAACAACAGGTGGTCTTTTTACGAGTCGCTTCTTCCGTGGAGCATTGTGTTTGCCACGTGCACCCATGTTGTAGCGTGTACCAGTGCTTTCCTCCTTTTTATTGCTGAGCAGTAGTCCACCGTATGGGTACACCGCAGCGTCAAAATCCGTTTGTCAGTTGACGGACATTCTGGTCGTGTCTGCTTTGGGGCTCTTAGGAGTAATGCTGCTGTGGACATTCGTGCGCACGATGTTCTGTGGACACGTGTTCATGCATTTTCAGTGCCAAGGAACGGAGCTGCAGAGCCTGACTGTAAGTCATGGGATGATGTTTCTTTATATTTAAGAGAGAGAGACAGGGTGTGAGCAGGGGAGGGGCAGAGAGAGAGGGAGACACAGAATCCGAAGCAGGCTCCACGCTCTAAGCTGTCAGCACAGAGCCCGATGCTGGGCTCGAACTCACAAGCTGTGAAGTCATGACCTGAGCTTAAGTCGGACGCTCAACCGACTGAGCACCCCCCCCCACCGGGGCACCCCTACCATGTTTAACATTCTGAGGAACTTCCAGCCTGTTCCAAAGTGACTGTACCATTTTACAATCCCATCGACAGTGTTGAACTGTACATTTTTAAATAATAGATCAGTGTATTATTTAGGGATGCAGAAGACAGGAAACTCAGCGAATACTTGGGTTATGTAAAAAATATATATACGTATATATATATGTATATGTATGTATATGTGTATGTATATGTGTATATACATATGTATATTTTTTTAAATAAATAAATTGATGGCTCATGCGACGGAAGGAGCAGATGTGGGCTTGCAGTGGCGTCCAGGGTGCGAACAGCCTGGTCGGGCCTGGCTCCCGCGGCCCCGGCTTGGCCTGTGTCGGCCGTGCTTTCAGCCCCTCTCGACAGCAAGATGACCGCCAGCGTCCCCGGCCTCCTGTCTCCCCCTTCTCCCCCGGTTCAGACAGAAGACTGGAACTGAGGCCGGGACAAATCACTCCACGGGCTGGGGTTGGAATATTGAGATGGGCCAGACCTGGGTGGTTCGCCAGCCCCTAGGCCGTCTCTCTCGGACTTAGCATCAGGGATTGCTGATCAATTCTGTCGTCAGAAGGCGGGAGGACCCGCCCGCGAACAGAACCGGAAGATGACAGCAGCACGAGATGCTGTAACGGGGAGATGTCAGTAGCTCTGCCAGCTCTGTTCTTCCGGGATAAGTTCAACTGTTTCTGAACTAACTGGACAGCACAGGAACGTGGAAAGGAACCGGGTGTTGGAGTTGAGCAGGCTTCAAATTGAATGTTGGCTGTTCTGTTCACCAGCTGTGTAATCTTAGAATGTTTTTAATGTACAAATTATCAAAAAAAAAAAAAAATGTGTCCCTGCAGGGTTGTTGTGAAAACTACAGAAAATACACAGGAGGTGTCAGACGGGGAGCCACGCATCTGTGGCCCCGCCTGGTGTTAATCTGGCCTGAAGAATTTCGTTAGGGAGAATGGGTCTCCCTGGTCAGAACAGGTAAGTCAACCGTGATGAGATTCCCCCCCCCCCCCCCCACCGCCAACCTGTAAATTCGGAGTCAACCTCCATAGGAAAAAATGTTCCATCCCTACCGCCCACATGCTGATTCTTTTCCCCAACATCTTCCTGAAGTTATCCCAGAATGAAACAAAGTAGCGTAACGGATGTTAAATTTAGCATTTAAAAATCCAAAGCACAAAAATACGACTCTAGACGACAGGGCCTTTATCTCGCCGCCCCCCCGCCACACTTTCCCCGGAAGTTCTTAGAGGCCAGTAGTGTTTTATGTTCTCCACGGTGACTTCAGATACCTAACGTCAAGTTTTCTATGGTTTTTTTTTTTTTTCCTTTCTTAAAGCATCACAAGCTACTTTTGTTTAGACTTTTTTTTTTTTTAACAACAGTTTTAAGCTCACAGCGAAATGGAGCAGAGGGTACAGAGATTGCCCATAGATCCCCTGTCCCCACACACACCGCCTCCCTCACCACCCACATCCCCGAGCAAAGTGGTACGCTTGTTACAATGAACCTATGATAATGATGAACACATCGTCATCATCCAAAGTCCATAGTTTAGGGTAGGGTCACTCTTGGTGTCCCATTCTATGGGTTTGGGCAAGTTGGTAACGAAATGAAATGTATTCACCAGTACAGTATCATACAGAACAGCTTCACCAGGCTAAAAATCCTGTGTTCTCCCTGTTCGTCCCTCTCCCCCCACAGCTCAACCCCTTGGCAACCGCTGACTTTTTTTTTTTTCTTTTTCTGGCTCCGTATCTTTGCCTTCTCCATAATGTCATACGGTTGGAATCGTATAGTATGTAAGCTTTCCAGATTGGCTTCCTTCACTTAGTCACATGCTCTTAAGGCCTCTCCATGCCTTCTCATGGCTCGATAGCTCATTTCTTTTCAGCGCCAAGCAATACGTCTCTGGATGTGCCACAATCCATCCACTCCCCTACTGAAGGACATCTTGGTTGCTTCTGGATCTGGTCAATTACGAATCAAGCCGTTAACAACATCCGTGCCTATTTTTTATGTGGACATGTTTTCAGCTCAGAGTAGATGCCAAGGAGTGCAGTTGCTGGATTGTAAGGGGAGGGTGTGTTTGGTTTTGTAAGAGACTGCCAAACGATCTTCCAAGTGGCTGCGCCATTTTGCACACTCGCCACCAAGGACTGAGTGTTCCTGTTGCTCGCGTCCTCACTGGCATTTTGTGGTGTCAGTGTTTTGAATCTTGGCCCTTCTGATAAGTGTGTAGTGGCATCTCGTTATTTTAATCGGCATTTCCCTGGCGACCTGACGTCAAGCATCTCTTGTGTCTATTTGCCATCTGTGTATCTGTGGTGAGGTGTCCGTTCAAGTCTTTGGTTCATTTTTTAATGGGGTTGTTCACTCTCTTATTGTTGGGTTTCAAGAGTTCCTTGTGTATTTTGGATAATAGTCCTTCATCAGGTACGTCTTTTGCCAATATTGTCTCCCAGAGCATGGCTTGTCTTCTCATCTTTTATTTTTATTTTTTATTTTCACTTAAAATTTTGTTTTAATGCTTATTTACTTTTGAGAGAGTGGGGGGGGGGGCGGCAGAGAGAAGAAGACCCAGAATCCGAAGCAGGTTCCAGGCTCCGAGCTGTCAGCACAGAGCCCGACGTGGGGCTTGAACTCACGGATCGCATGATCATGACCCGTGCCGAAGTCAGATTCTTAACCGACTGAGCCACCCAGGCGCCCCTGTCTTCTCACTTTTTAGATAGCTGTTTTTCATCATTTTGCTTGAGGTCCTATCAAATTATTGGTAATCGTGTCTTGGGAAGTCAAATTCCCTGAGTTTTCCTTGGGAATGCCACTGACTCCTACTGCCTTCCTTTCTGCCTTTCCTTGCCTACTTCTGCCTGTCCGTTTTTCCTGTCATACTTGAGTAAATTCATTGAACAAACATTTACTGAGTTCTCCGGTAGGTGAGCCGTCGCAGTATGTGCTGTAGATTTAAGTGTGAGAAGCAAGTATAGACCCAAGATGTGTGTTGTGTAGGAATTGACAATGGTCAGAGAACTGATACTCAAACGAAATTGAGTGGCCAATAAAGAGACACTTGACCATCTGGGACAGCTACTTAACAATCCACCTTAACTTTGCTGGGCCTCGGTAAGAGACCACGAATTGATAATCAGGATACACCTCGGTGCCTACTTTGCCAAAGGAGAACCACAGGATTAGAACATGAATCAGCCTTGATTGATAAGTTGGTTATTGGCTTGACTGAAATGCTCTCAGAAATATTAAGCCACTAGTACAATTAAAAGGAAGCATCCTTGATTTTTCTTTCTTTTACATAGATATTCCAGAGGAAGTCACCAGCGTAGACTTGGCCGGTGTGAAGAAGTGTTAAGAACAGTAACACTATCTCTGTCCCAAAAATAAATAAACGTTGAAAAAAAAATTAAAAAAAAAAAAAAAAAGAACAGTAACACTAAATTCTTACGGCATTTTTATGTATTCAGCACGCATGAGCATTATTTAAGCATTTTTATGTATTCGGGCAGCCAGATAACTTTTACTCTGATCTCACTGGGTCTTTGGAGCGACTTTTCTCTCTTTCAATTGGGATAAGGCTGAAGAGAAAAATGCCACCTTTTATGGTATTAAGCGAGCCTTTAAAGCATGTTGAGGGGCGCCTGGGTGGCGCAGTCGGTTAAGCGTCCGACTTCAGCCAGGTCACGATCTCGCGGTCCGTGAGTTCGAGCCCCGCGTCAGGCTCTGGGCTGATGGCTCAGAGCCTGGAGCCTGTTTCCGATTCTGTGTCTCCCTCTCTCTCTCTGCCCCTCTCCCGTTCATGCTCTGGTCTCTCTCTGTCCCAAAAATAAATAAACGTTGAAAAAAAAATGAAAAAAAAACGTTGAAAAAAAAAATGAAAAAAAAAATAAAGCATGTTGAATGGTTTGCATAAGGTCTCACACCAGTAGGTACTAAAATAACTCCTGATTCGTGCTTCATTTTTACTACACATCGAGACAATCTTTAATTTCCTTTTTTTAATTATTATTATTTCTTTGGAATAGGGAACTCTTTTCTTTTTTCTTCAAGCATGGGCTCCCACTTCCCTGACAGTAAGATGTATATTTGCTTGGTTTAAGGGAAACCATTCGGATTGGTATTTATGAAAAGCTTTGAAGATAGGCTACAGGAGTCCTGAAGATGATTGGGAGATAGGGGCCCTGCGACACCCCAGCTGAGATTTACGGTGACGACCTACTCCTCTCTACAGAATTACGTTCTGATCAATCCCTAGTGGGTTGCAGAATGCTCCAAAGAATAAGCAAGCGTAATACAGGTAACTGTCAGGTTGTTTTCCTTTATTGCTGAGAGCACAATACTTTCAGAAACTAATCAAGAGGTAAACAGTGGAAGAATCTCTTCCTTTCCACTGATCCCTAGTAATTTGGTTCCTTCATTTGAAATTCAAAATGGAGTATCCATTTGTAACTCAAAATTAATTATATAGAGAAGGCATATTTTTGGTCTCAATGGGGGCGCGTGGACAGCATTAATACAATTTTAGTTGCCTTATTCAAAATGCCAGCTATTAACAAAAGTTTTGATAATTGAATAACATGGATTTGACTTTAAATCTAGTTTTACAGAACTGTGTTGTTCAACATCCTGCATATAAATATACAGCCTAAGATCTTCGTTGTTATTTTTAGAACTGCAGAGCACATGTAAAATACTAGGAATCAAACTAAACATATATCTAAAGATAGTAGTTTTAAAGTCTAAATTCTTGCCAAGTAGCAGAGTTAAGTGTAAGAACCTACTTTTGAAGTTTGTGTTACATATTAGCATTTTAAGATCAGTATTTTTGAAGTAGAAAACGGAAGTAGACTTTTAATGTACCATAGGTACCACAGATAAAACTAAAAGGCAGTGCCATTTACCTCTTCAGCACTGAGGTTACCTATGGATTCTAGAAACATCACATTTCCTTACTATTTTACAATTAGACCAAAAGACAAAAACTTGATTTTGTAAATACGGGTTGAGTGTGTAAAAAGAGGCAGTTTTGTGTACTTTCTAAAGTAAAAACAACTTTTACCAAATTATGCAGAGAAAGCTTCATAAAAATGGACCTGTAGGGGGCGCCTGGATGGCTCTGGCGGTTAAGCGTCCAACTTCAGCTCAGGTCATGATCTTGCGGTTCGTGGGTTCGAGCCCCGCGCCGGGCTCTGTGCTGACAGCTGGGAACCTGAAGCCTGCTCCAGATTCTGTGTCTCCCTCTCTCTCTCTGCCTATCCTCTGCTTGTTCTCTGTCTCTGTCTCTGTCTCTCTCTCTCTCTCAAAAATGAAACATTAAAAAAAATTTTTTTAATGGACCTTGAAACACTTTTTAAGTGCAATTTTACCACTTTGACCTTTGAAAATATATCCTAATTCTAGAAATTGATTTTTAAAGGGAAGTTATAAACAAAGGCAAGTACAGACTTACAACAAACCAGATTTGCACCAAATCACCCAAAGCCACTATATTAATGCAGACATAATGAAGTCCGATTTGTTGTGTATTGATTCTGCCTTATAAATGTCATCAGCCTTTTGTGAGGACATAGCTTGCTAGTTAATTTATTTCAAAATGCAGTCTAATCATATAAGATTTAAAATTACTCTCAGGAATTGCTTAAATACAAACAAAAGGTATATAAGGAAAACTCAGGGAGCCTCTGTGTTCAAGATCATTGAATCTGTGTGAAACGTGTTGCCACATAGGGGTGACTTCCAGAGAATTTGGACCTATGATTGTCTCAGAATTCATAGTAACATTAACACTAAGTGAAGTTAGCCGTGTGAGGTAACATCCTGAGCGATTTTAAATATGCAAAGAATTGGGAACAACAAAATCTCCGAGGTGACCTTAGAATGCCATCAGGGAAGCAGGACTGTTACGAGAGATCGTAATTTAATAAGCAGACACCTACCCATTTGTATCATATCTTATCTGGAGGATAGCTTTGAGAATAGAAACAGGTTAGTGAACTAAGGCCTTGTGATGGTTTATTATAGGTGTCAACATGGCCGGGCCATGGGGTACCCAAAGAGTTAGTCAGACACAATCTGGGGTGTTTCTACGAAGCTGGTTTTGGATGAAATTTACATTTAAGTCATAGCTTGAGTAAAACAGGTGGGCTTCCCTAAGGGGGCCTCATCCAACCAGTTGAAGGCCTGAGTACAACAAAAACGATGGGCCCCCCCCCCCCCCCCCCAGTAAGAGGGAATTCTCTAGCTGCCTGCCTTTGGATTTCATCGGCAGCATGGATTTTTCCTGCCTAATGGCCTTCAAACAAAAACCGGCTTCCCCCAGATCTCCTGCCCCATCAGTCAGCCCATCCTGCAGGTTTGAAACTACCATTCTTTATAATGATGTGAACAAATTATTGTATAAATCACCCCCCCCCATATATATATATGCATAGTTCTGTTTCTCTAGAGCACCCTGACTTACACAGTCTGCACGGACTAAAAAGGATTTCTGAGGCCAACACTGTGGAGGAAATGTTGGCCAACCACACTGGGCCATCGCAGGGACCTTGGCAAGCCTATCCCAGCAACTGGTGATGGCTTTTGCCACCACAAAACAATTAAGATCAAGCAACTTCCCCTGTTCTTACTCGGCGTTTGCCAAATAACCTTCTCATAATTGAACATCCCACGTACCTGATAGCATCAAAATATACTCAGCCTACAGGGCTGAAGACCAGACCCTCGAGAATAATGAAATCATCACAGCAAATGCCAAGTTGAGGGCTCCGTCTGGATGCCAGCGCGAGTGGCCAAAGCAGCTTTTCCTTTGCATGACCCTGATTAACGCGTCTTAACATCTGAAAACTCGACAGAATCCTGAATCTTCTTTGCAAAGTATTTATTTTCTTCGGCTGTATTAACAGGTTTTCTAAACCACCATATCTGGTTACTGGAAAGGGGGCAGGAAAGGGCCATATATACGTATCATTTCCAAAGCCACACATCTTTAAGGCCTTTGGAGAAAGCTATAAAGCTGAGGCACAAAGTAATCCTTGTAATGTCCGTCGATGAAACCTTTCCCGCTGTTATGCACGAACCAACAGGAAACCTCTGTTCCGAACACTCGATCTGTTCGATAGTCCTTCTGTAGGCCTCTGCGGGGAAAATGGTGAGTATGGTTAGACTTGGCCAGCTTGCGTATCTGCAAAGCTTCTTTGCTGTTCATCATGTCCCTCCTGGTGCCGTATCTGCTCACGCCCACCGACCCCCACTCCCCAAGCTGTACAGAACATTCTCTCGAGCTTGGTGTTGGAAGGACAGAGAATAAGCACTGCATCCTTAGATAATTCAAATAACCCTTTGGAGACTGACCAATATGTAGACTTTTCCAGCACGGGAAAGAGTGCAAGTTAACGTCCCAGTGGAAAGAAAGCGGGAACCAAATGCTGAGCCGCTGTGGGCTCACCTCACACATCCCCTGCTGAATGAATCTTCACTGTGAGGGTGAGTGTTCTATCTAAGGGTGATGCCAGCTGTTTCTGAGAAATCCACGCTCCCACTTACAGGACAAAGAAGCCGATGATTTAAAAAGCTGTGTGGCCTATTGTCGCTAGTGAGCTTTAAAATACGGATGAAAGCGCATGACCCCGTCCACCCCGAAGCCCCCGTCAACTCAGTCTCAGTTATGTATTTCGAGGTGCTTCCAACAGATGAACTGGAGGCCCGACAGTTACCTTTGTCATTAGAGTATAGCAGGTGTGAGTTTACCGACCTAGATAACTTATTTTATTCTTATTACTGTGCTCGTCATTTCCTTATCAAACATGCTCACCGACGCCCATGGGTCACTCACTGGTCTCCAGTGAGCCGAACCCAGGTGAGTGGTATACTCACCAAGAGCTCGTCGTTTTACTTCAAAAATCTATTTTTGTGGTGATATGTATGGCTTAATTATTACTGCAGTGTCATCACTTACTGATGTGGAAGCCAAGGACATTTGCGGGCAAAGAAAGTCATTTCTTATAAAGCAACGTTGATTGCTTTGTAAAAAAAATAACTTAAAAAAAGGCCAAAAAAAATCCACAAAAAAAACCTGCTTTAAAATGATATCAGACAGGCACAGGGGAGACTGCTGTAAAGGACTGGGAGAAATTTAAAAGATTGAGAAGAATGTAAACACTCACGACGCTTTCCAAGTATAGAATCCTCACTTTGAACAAAGCACGCGGAGATGGTTTGTGTCAGAAAAGCTACACAAAAATGCATTTGGTAGATTCATACTCAAGAAGAAGGCTGCAGTTTTATATAAAATTATACATTCAGGGACTCCTGGGAGGCTCAGTTGGTTGAGCGTCCGACTCTTGGTTTTGGCCCAGGTCACGATCCCAGGGTCGTGGGATCGAGCCCTGCATTGAGCTCTGCACGGAGCATGGAGTCTGCTTAAGATTTTCTCTCTCCCTCTGTCCCTCTCCCCTACTCAGTTTCTCTCTGTATCTCAAAAAAAAAAAAAAAAAAAAGAAAAGAAAAATAAAAAATATATATATATTCTCTAGCACTGTGGTTCACAGGCATTTTTATGATTTCCTTCTTTGATCAGCTTTTTCAGTAAGCCAACTGGTGACCACAGGGCTTGGAATGCAGAGGATGAGACCAATGGCTTCATTTCTCTTGGCATTTTATGGCACCTCCTTATCTACCTGGTCCCCATTTGCAGTTAGGCTGGCGTCCCTGCAGCGGCCTTATACAGATGTCATGTGTGTTTCTCCCTGATGAACTGTTAAGTCGGACATAAGTAACGCTTGAAAAAGCTTCTCTTGCTTTGCTCATTTCTGTTCTAACCCCGGTAGGAGCGCTCTGGGTCGCTGCTATATGCATCCGAGGCCTACCTGGTGACAATCAACCTGTGTCCCTTCACTTCCATGCTCGCCTCTGGCTTCTCGGGGTCCTTCCCTGGTCGCTCATTGAAGATCCGGATCTTTGGCTCATGCATGAACTGGCCTAGTGACACAAAGTCCAGACTGATTTACGTGGAACCCACGGGTAAACAAAAACAACAGCCTCATCATCATTGGATCCAAACTGCACTTTGGTCTCCCTCTAGAATTTCTGGGGCCGAAAGACATACCAAGAGGCAAAGGGCAGAGCGATGGGAGGGATGGGTCCTTCCCAAGAGGGAAGGCTGCTCACCCCACAGTCACTTTACACACGAGGCTGACCCACCGGACGAGAAGTGGAGCGGAACGCCATGTGGCTGGGGGTGCGGGTGAGCACCTGTGAGCACCGCTCAGATCGTAGAAACGAGGTTTGTGATGTCATAGTCACATGCTTCAACCGAACTGTTCCTTAGAAGGTTGGGGTGCCTGGGTGGCTCAGTTCGGTTAAGCCAACTGATTTCAGCTCATGTCATGATCTCATGGTTTGTAAGATCAAGCCCTGCATCAGGCTTTGCGCCGATAACACGGGGCCCGCTTGCGATTCTCTCTCTCCCTCTCTCTCTGTCCCTCCCCAACTCACACACATGCTCTCTCTCTCTCTCAAAATAAAAAGACATTAAAAAAAAAAGTTCACCTCTCTTCAGTTACAAAAAAAAAAAAAATCTTCAATGTATAATTTAAAAATTGAAAACATTTCTCTAACTTTCCCAGTTAGTGATAATGAAATCCCGGGTCTGGGATTACCCGCACCAGCAAATGGTCTTGGCTGTAGCACAACCCAGTCACCCTGCCCTGCAACGTAGGGTTGTATTAATCATGTTTGTTACTTTCTGTATATTATGATTTGACATCTTAAAACCCTGACCGGCTGGGAGATACTGCCCCCTCCCTACCCAATTCTGAAAGACCGCAAAGGACTCAGACAGGAGCATGCCTGCCGTGTGCAAGCTAACCACCCAGAGCTAGACCTCTGCTAGCTGGCCTGCACAGCCCAGATGGAATCATTCCAGGCCCAGGTGCCAGGTAAGTAGAGACCACCCTGGACCCCAAAGCCCACCTACATTACTCAAGCTAGCCAGCCCAGAACTCCCCTCCTCTGTCTCATCTTTGCACAGAAACACCACAGAGGCTCTGGCTTTGCCCTGCGCGTTAGCTCCCTGATGAGAACTTGGCCTTCCTCTGCGGCCCTGCGAGGCGAGCCCTGCCTCTCGTTTCCAGGGGGAGACCGGGAGTGGTGGTAAACGTTTCCATCGATGGCATCGGCCCCTTTGCGTCCTCGCTCAGTCACCTCTCCAGATCAAGCCCTGGGCACAGAGTATGGCTGCAATCCGTCTTTTGAGTCCACACCTGTCGCTGTCCGAGTTCTAACCTCCAAAGTTGCTCGAGACCAAGAGGGGGCCCCCCACTTTGCCTGATGGTTGATGGGACACCATACCTATTAGTCCATGTGCTTTAGGTGAAAACTTGTTTGTGGGGGGAATGTAGATCCCCAGAAAGTCTACGTTGATCGGATGCTTCTTCCAAACCCGATGGAGTAAAACAGAGAAGGACACGTCTTTATTCAGGGTGACGGTCACAGTTTGCTCTTTCTTCACAGAGACGAGCACCCTGGGGTGAAAGCCAAAATGGAGTCAACATTTCTAGAACATCTGTTCAGGACGCCATTCCTCCCACCCTGGACACGAGCTGGCCACCCCTCCCTGGACAATGCCACTAGTGGTCTGAGTCCGTCACAACGTTTCTGCCACAGAATGTTGTTTTCACTCCCAGCTCTGGAATTCTGTTAATTTATGTGTTTGTATAAAAACAGTTAGCAGGGGGGTGCCTGGGAGGCTCCGTCGGTTGAGCATCCGACTCTTGATTTTGGCTCAGGTCATGATCCCAGTGGGGTGAGATCAAGCCCTGCGTTGGACTCCCCACTGAGCGTGGAGCCTGCTTAAGATTCTCTCTCTCTCTCTCTCTCTCTCTCTCTCTCTCTCTCTCTCTCTGCCCTCCTCCTGCTCATGCTCTCTCTAAAATTAAAATTAAAACAATTAACAGATAATAATGGGAAAATATTACTCCTAAGATACAATCATTGTGTTTCTGGGCACAGTCTGACACGGAGTCGGCCGTGGAGTTTTGATGGATTCATTCACTTTTCTGACACGTATTTACTGCGTACCTACGACATGCCTGGCCATAGGCTGGCACTGAGACACGCAGTGACCAAAGGATGTGGACCCTGTTGCCAGGAACGGGGGAGTAGGTAACAAAAGCCTTTCTGAAGCGTGCGTCTTCATATTTAAAATGACAGTGTTAAGTTCTAGTTTAAATCACGGATCTCTGGATTTATGTACGTAGTCGTGTGGAGGGCGGGCCTGAATCCGGACGTGACAACACTTGCCTCTGATTAATGACGCGAGCCGTGTCCGACCAGGACAGGATGGACGTACGGGAGCCCCGGCTCAGGGTGATGGTCTCAGTGCTGATTTCTATTTTCATGTCTTCACTTTGGAAGTAAAACCCCAGTTTTCCGAAATAGGTTCTGAGTTTTTCATTCTTGGGCTTCTTGGCACCAGTGAGCTGCCCATTGACCAAAATCCCTATGGAAAAACACATGTTTGTTTTTTTTCCCCCTCCGTGAGCCATTTCGCTTCAGGATTTGACATTTCTTCCTATGCAACGCTCACCTTATTACCATGTGTGACGGCAGTTTAAATTAATTATATTACAGTAAGATCTGCTAGTTTACACTCAGGTTTTTGGCTACTGTAGTTCACTTAGGCATATATTTATAATTTATTTCTAATTATCAGGGTTTACAAAGTACGGGACTTCGACTCAGTTAAGAAAGAAAGAAATCCCAGGGAGCAACAGTGAAGCATGGTAATGATCCCATTGTTTCGTTCGGATGTAGTATCTTTTTATTTTACCTAATTCTGGATCAGAAACAAGGTTGAGGATTTTTCCTGGTTCTGAGTCAATATTGAAACAAACATTCTTTTCATTTTTCGGTAGGTAAATGATGAAGTGTGGGTCGTTTTCAACTGGAAAATAAACAGAGAAAATGAGACCAAACAAAATCATAGAAAGGAAGATGACTTTGAGCAGGACTTTATTCCTGAACATCTTTAATTTAACAGGAACAAATATTTACGGTGCTTCTACTATTTGCTGGGTTCTGTTCTAGGCACTGGGGGCCCAGTGGTCCAAACCCATCGTCCCTTCCCCATGGAGCCTCTCAGAGTTTTAAGTGATTGTACAAATATGGTGTATACTTGTTCTGAAGCTATCAGGCCAGAGATAAAAAAAAAAAAATGAACAAGAAACACACAAAGCATGAGAAACACACACATACACACTATATATACATGTATACATATATATATGTAACATACATATACGCCATACATATATATACTATGTATGTGTATATACACACAGTGAGTATTGTTTTAAGTAACCATATGCAGTACATAAAAATAAAGGAGACAGTATTATTTGTCGGCATACAGATTGATATTAATCAATTCTACGAGCAATGAAGCATGATGCTACTCTCAAGAAAGAAGTCCCTTGTTACTGGACAACTTATTCTGGCCGATCTTTCTTATTTGTTTGTTTGTTTGTTTAATCATTCAACAAATATTTGGCGAGGAAGAAAAAAAAAAAAGCAAACTATGACCAAAGCACTGAATTAGGCATTGTTTGGTGTAGCTATAAACAAATCATGGTCTTGTCTACAATACCTTCAAGAAAGGCACAACTTCATGAAAGAGTCACCAGGATTCTCTCATTGACCAAAGTCCACTTAGGCTCCCCCCGACTCTTTCAACGACGCCTCAACTTTTGGACTCACATACATGTCTGTCTCTGCATTGTCTTTTTTTTTTTTTTTTTTTCCAACGTTTTTTATTTATTTTTGGGACAGAGAGAGACAGAGCATGAACGGGGGAGGGGCAGAGAGAGAGGGAGACACAGAATCAGAAACAGGCTCCAGGCTCCGAGCCATCAGCCCAGAGCCTGACGCGGGGCTGGAACTCACGGACCGCGAGATCGTGACCTGGCTGAAGTCGGACGCTTAACCGACTGCGCCACCCAGGCGCCCCTGCATTGTCGTTTTTTTAGCAGGAATCTTACTACATTAATTTAGCTAGAATCCCCGTCCTCCATAATGATCACCCTTGATATCTAACCAGGTTTCTCATCCCCCACCATCCTCCAGGTGATGTCTGATCACCTGGCCGCCTTCCACAAGATTCCTATTTGGCTGGTTTGGTCGGAATCCCCTTTACTCCTGATGTTTCCTCTTGGTGATTTTCCAGCCACCGCCCCCACCCTGTTTTTGTCTACAAACTCCCACTTTCCCATGCCGTACTTGGAGCTGAGCCCAATCTTTCCCGCCTAACTAGACCGCATTGCGGGGGTCCTCGCACCCATCACGACAGCCCCCCGCCCCTGAATAAAGTCTTCCTGACCATGCGCACTCTAGCAAATGTCACAAATAATTTTTTTCTTTAACGCGTTTTCTTTCAAAGAGGCAGACACAACCACTGAGGTAAGAGAGAATAAAATAAAAGGCACAAAAATGTCACAAGCCCAATGGTCTGGGGGTAAAGATGAAAGGGTGACGAACCCCACCAGGCTAGTTGAGAAGGGCCTTGCACAGGAGTTCGCACCAAGCCTTGAAGATAGGAGAGGAGGGGAAGGAAAAAAGACATAGGAGACAGATTTTCTGAGTGCACAGAATGAGGCCCAGCCGGGAGGTATAACAGTTGATTTGTGTACAAGTGACTACAAGGATGGGTTCTTGAAAATGTAGAAAAAGATAAGACTAGAAATGGGGGTCATAGAGACGGAAGAATGGACCTGTAAGCTGGGGAGCCATTCGAAGTTTTTGAGAGTAAATGTGGCAAAGATTTGATTTTAGGGATATAACACGTCACAGTATAAATTAAGTATTGAGAAGCGGACAAAGGAAAGTCAGTTGGCAGCTAATGTGGCAGCAGGCCGGGCGAGGGATGGTAAATTCACGAAGTCCAATGGGAAATGGGACCCGCACGGGAGGGAGAGTCCGGGGATGCGTGGCAGCGTCCACAGTATCTGGTAACGGAGTGAGCCGTAAGAACTGCAGTGGTTGTGTGTTCCAGAATAAAACTGGAACGGCGGCCTTCCATCCGCCGAGGGGTTGCTGTTTTCTAGACGTGCTCGCAAAGTCCTTTGCAAAACATTAACTCAACTGATTTTCCCTGTAGCCTTGCAGGGGACAGGTGACCTGCCCCGAGGTCACATTACAGAGTCAGTAAGTGGCAGAGCGAGGACCAAAGGGCAAGCCCGTTCTCCCACGCGCTCGGATACGCTCGTTCGTTCTCAAGTGTGTGACTTGGGACATGAAATGGAGGAGAAACCAATCCAGGACACGAATACAATCTTGTATTTCTTCGCACCCCCCACCAGGCTCCTGCTCCGTGATCAATAAATACTTGGTTAATCGATTTGGTGCTGAGCCGGGCACTAGAGGGCATCATTAAAACACAGAGCAAAGGCTCTCGACTCCCTTTCTTCAATTAAGCAAAAATCGTTTTATCACGATAGCTCTTCCTTTACACAAATCCGGTGTTTTGAAATGTCTTCTGAAGGGAATTGCTTTGGTTGCAGATAATGCTTGATTTTGCCAAAGCCCACGAATCCCGCTAATCAGACCTTCTGGTAATGACCGCGCATCAGAGCCGCCATCCTGAGTTGATAGAATTCTAGACGGCAGACACGAGGCGTCATATTTAGGCTGGTCCCAGGACTCCCACGACTGAGTTCACAGAGTCCTGACGACCTAGGGTTTACGAGCTTCTGCTGGGAACCAGGGACCGAGTCCATAGTAACCACCGTGTAGTTTTTTCCTCATCCCCATTTTACAGGCGGGCTCACTGAGACCCAGAGACGTTTCAGAGTCTGGCGCACGGTCCCGTGGGCAGAGTTTGACCCCAGACCCGGTCCCCTTTCCTGCCTCACCCAGCAGGCCGTGAACTCAGAGGTAGCCCTGCATTCTAACTGGAACAGACATTGAAAACTAAGTTAGCTTTAACTCTACACGTTTCGACAGAAGCTTTGTTTTGCGAAGCAGCAGTGGAAGAGGCTCACGCCCCTGTCAGTGCCCTTGTCCCTCGCTCTAAGAGCCACCCAGCCCCGTCCCCACGTGGATGCCCTGCCCGCGAGTACGGCGTTGTAAAATTGCCACCACCGGCTGGAAGTCCAATGCGGGGTCCTTCGTTAAGCTCCGTCGTTGGACGCGCTCAGGTGGGAGAGCGGAGGGGCCACTCTACGAAGCATTGCCACCCATGGAAGGCTGAAGAAGGAAATCCCTCCTGGCCCACAAGTAACAATTTTAGAGACAAGCCAGAGGGGAGAGCTGCGCTCGCTTTAAAAATTGATTTGAGGGGCGCCTGGGTGGCTCAGTCGGTTAAGCGTCCGACTTCGGCTCAGGTCACGATCTCACAGTTTGTGAGTTCGAGCCCCGCATCGGGCTCTGGGCTGATGGCTCAGAGCCTGGAGCC